TTCGTATAGTAACAACGTTTAGCTTTTAGGTTCCAAATACGAAATGTACATGTTTCTCTGATGTACATAATTAAATAATATACATAACTATTCACCATTCCTGAGATCCTTTGATTGTTCTATTAATGAACTTGGTGGATAGGTAATTAGGAAAAGTGGGTGGGTGCAAGTTTTTATTAATTTAGAAGCAATTGAATAATATTTTCTCTCCATTAGATATATCATCTACAGTCCTTTAGTTTTTTTCTGTTTCCTTTCAAAATGTATACAAATTTGATTGAACATTTTACAATGAGTAACTCTCTAGTATCTTGAAATCTCATATTCAAAACTTAACACATAAACTGATAAACATGTTACTGTAGATATAATCTTATTTGAAGTGAGATACCATTCGATTACATGTACAATAAAAATAAATAAAAATGAAACAAATGGAGAAATGCATTCATTTGTCGTCCAAATAAGCTGATAATAACGAATACACAATTTCTTTTTATTGTTCTAGTAGAATACATAATTCATGTCCCTTACGTTGCAGGTTCCCATCATTTTACAAATATTCTCTTCTCTTTTCTACTTTAATATCTCTTTAAAAAAAATGTAATATGAGATTATTTATATTCTTTCTTTTCCTATATATATCTCAGATGTACACCGTTTCAGTATTGCATTGCCACTCGAATTACCTAAGACTAAAAGACAAAGTTTGTTTTTTCTCACATATTGTTAAATTTTCTTTAAACTTAAGCAAAATGCAGAGGCAAGTGGCACTCGTTAAGCAGTCCCTCTTTGATCAGGTTTTTATTAATTTTCTTTCTTAGTGTTTGTATAGTAATTATAGTCGTGCTAGTTGTAAATTTCTTCTAATAAACTAGAAAACAATTTAAAACCTAACGGGAAATGTATGTATAGGGATATCTCGACGAACAATTCATGGAGTTGGAAGATCTCCAAGACGATGCAAACCCTAATTTTGTTGAAGAAGTTGCCACATTATACTTCAAAGATTCAGCTCGATTAATCAATAACATTGACCAAGCTTTGTAAGTACATTCTACTTAATTTTTTTTCCTCTTTTCTAGTTTTGTGCTATATTTTCGGTCTTTTGATACATAAGAATTACTTTAACAATGCAGGGAAAGAGGGTCATTTGATTTCAATCGGCTAGATAGTTACATGCATCAATTTAAGGGCAGCAGCACGAGGTACTTTTTCTCTTAAACTTTGATTAAATCGAATACTATTTTAATAAAAAGCGTATGAATTAATTGACTTACAGTAGTGCGAAGAATCTAGTACTCAAAATGTCTTAAAGAATAAAAAACGTGTAATACAAACACATTAAAAGGGATTACTGACATTCTCGTTTCATGATTCAGTAACAGAATTTACTTAATTAACCAAACATATTTTATATTGTTTGACCCTCCAAAAAAAATTGTAATAGTATTTAGTACTGCTAGTATTAAATACTACTAACTATTGCTACAAAATAATTAATAATACCATAAATGTGCAAATTTTTGTTTTCAACTTTTCAGTATTGGTGCGAGTAAGGTGAAAACTGAGTGCACCATGTTCAGGGAATACTGCAGAGCTGGCAATGCTGAAGGGTACTTTCGTCTTTCCACTTACTCCTACGAGCTACTCGTTTTTAACAAAATGAAAATAAATACAAATATTTGGGGACTACAAATGCAGTAGTCTCCTGAACCCTAAACTATTCAACTATTCAATTTTCGACGCCCTAACTAATTTTTTTGCTTTTCCTTACATGCGACGTGGTACAGATGCTTGAGGACTTTCCAGCAACTGAAGAAAGAACACGCCACGTTGAGAAAGAAGCTTGAACATTATTTTCAGGTAAGCCAGTGATCAGTTATACGCTTAATAGATCACAAATTACGTGATGATCACTGATCAGTAGTAATTCAGTACCATTATTCACGTTCAATTATTTACGGCAATTAAATTTTGAAATGGACAGATGGCAAGACAGGCGGGGCCTAAGGAGACAGCACGTAGGCCAAAGTAAAAGAGAGAGAAAGATAAATGAGGGATCGTCCGCGAATTTTGTAGTAGAAAATACAAAAATAAATAGTTCCTCTTTATTTTTATTATTACAATGTACGTTATAAAGAAGATCTTGGATAGATTCATAGTTTTATGTATGTTGTTAAGTAATAAACGGTCCAAATTTCTCTCTGTTTTTTTCTTCCTTATTTGGCCAGTTTTCTCATCTGAATTTATATCTACGACTACGAGTAACTCTTCTTCGTAGCATATTGGCAAAAGAATAATAACAACGACATATATACAAGAGAGAGTAGACAAATAGAATCCTGAACATTATTTCAAGCCAGAAAAACACAAAATGCAAGACTACTAGCTAGTATCTTTATATCATTATGTTATGCGATTCGTAATTCAAGATTTTAGTCTCTAGACTCTCTACTGCTAGTATAAAAGCAACAAAAACAAGAAACATATACAAGGCTTAGGTAGTTAAATGCAAATTTCACGAATCTAAGGATAACACTTCCAATTATTTACTTTTGGTCTTACATGTCCCTAGTTTTTTATACGATGGGATAAGCTCAGTAACAGTATAGGTCAAACGTTTACTTAAAATGGTCCAGCATTTGTTATAAGTTATCTCATTGATTCAAGTTATTCTGTGTAAAGTAAACGTTGACTTGTCGAAGTAGATCATAGCAATAAATTTCTCTTCCGAAAGAAAAAAACATAACAGCCTAGTATATACTTACATGACTAGATGTTCTTGATATTTATGAATCAATTAAATATCCAAAGCGACGTAGAACCACTCTCATTTATTAGCCTAGCTTGATCTCACTCATTCTCACAACCTCCATCTTCCTCACTTTAAACACAGACCCGATCTTATTTATGGCATCCATGTGCAACTTTTCTCCACTTAAAAGTAAATTTATTTAATAAAAACTACCTATAAAAAGTTAAATTAAAGTAAAACAGGCTGGTTCAATTTTTTTCCACGAATCAAAAAATGGTTGGAAAAATATTGAATAAGAGAGAGAGAGAGAGACAAAAGTTGACAAAAAACATTGAAGTAAACTATCTCCTTACCTTCCTCCACTCTATGTATATATATAAAACAAAGTACATAATAGTCTTTCACATTCACACATACCAAAGCCTAAGAGAAAAATAATGGATCATCATCGCATGACGTCGTTTTTGCTTGTCCTCTTGGTCTCTACTTCCTTGTCCGTTCTCCAAATTTCGTTTGCTCAAGACGTTCCAACGACTCTTGTTCCTGCAATCATCACATTTGGAGACTCTGTAGTTGATGTCGGAAACAACAACTATCTTCCGACTCTTTTCAGAGCTGATTACCCTCCTTATGGCCGTGATTTCGCTAACCACAAGCCCACCGGCCGGTTCTGCAACGGCAAACTAGCCACTGACATTACCGGTAAAAAGCTTTTCTCTTTTTAACTTGTAACACAAGTTATCTTGCTTTTGTTTTAAGCTTCCTTTGAAGTTGTGATACTGAAGTCTTTTGTTCTTTGTTACAGCTGAGACTCTAGGCTTCACTAAGTATCCACCAGCGTATCTAAGTCCTGAAGCTTCGGGGAAGAATCTTCTCATTGGTGCTAATTTCGCTTCTGCGGCTTCAGGTTACGATGACAAAGCTGCTCTTCTCAATGTGAGTCACTGTTCTTTCTTCTGATCCAATTGTTCTTTGATCTGTTTTTCTTTCCTGATTTTTGTCCTTTTTTTTTGGCAGCACGCAATTCCATTGTATCAGCAAGTAGAGTATTACAAGGAATACAAGAGCAAGCTCATAAAAATTGCAGGAAGCAAGAAATCTGATACAATCATAAAGGGAGCAATCTATCTCTTAAGTGCAGGAAGCAGTGACTTTGTTCAAAACTACTATGTGAATCCTCTGCTTAACAAAGTCTACACTCCTGACCAGTACGGATCTTACCTTATAGAGAACTTCTCTACATTTATCAAGGTAAAAAAAAAAAAAAAAATTAATTTACAAATTCAAAGACTAAAAGATAAGAGGAGATTGTGATATTTTTGATTGAATGTTGCAGCAAATTTATGAGGTGGGAGCAAGGAAGATCGGAGTGACTTCTCTGCCTCCAACGGGATGTCTTCCAGCTGCAAGAACCCTTTTCGGTTTCCATGAGAAAGGATGTGTTGCAAGACTCAACTCAGATGCTCAGCAATTCAACAAGAAGCTTAACTCAGCTGCTTCAAAGCTTCAGAAGCAATACTCTGGTCTCAAGATTGTTGTCTTCGACATCTTCACCCCACTCTATGAGCTTATTCAGTCCCCTGAAAAATCCGGTAAGTAAAAAAACTGGACTGATATGAAGTTATGACATTTCTTGTTGGTGATTATTAATCATTGACGACACACATTTTGATGTTTCTTTGGAACAGGATTCTCGGAAGCCACAAAAGGATGTTGCGGAACAGGAACAGTGGAGACAACATCGCTCTTGTGCAATTCGAAATCGGTAGGGACATGCTCCAATGCAACTCAGTATGTGTTCTGGGACAGTGTTCATCCTTCTGAAGCTGCCAATGAGATTCTTGCCTCTTCTTTGATTGGACAGGGCTTCTCTCTCCTCGGTTGATCTCGCTCTTAAGTACTTGTTTATCGCTGTTTCTCTTGTAATTTGAGACCTTTGAGTCATACATTTATATCCCTTTGAATTATATATGTATCAAACCACCACAGTGTTTACTTAAAAGATGTATTGATGAGATTACTTACTACAAGAAAACCAAAAGTTGAGAAACACTTAATACCAGAAACTATACACAACCTACGTGTGCTTGTTCATCTGTAAGAGTAAACCAGTTGTGATCTAAAGATCGAAAAGCTCTTGAAATCATATGTCTATATATGAGCAAAAACTAACAGACGGTTAAAATGAAGAGAGTAGAGTTTCTTCTACGCAGTGAGATATCTCAAGCCACAGCAGGCAGCATTAAGCAACTTGAATTTTTCCGGAGGTCTCTGGCTTCTTGTTTGGTGACAACATTGCGATCAAGACGGACGATGCTTTTTGAAGTTCTTCAGATGTCATCGCTTTGGAGCAAGTGGCTGCCTCTACCTTCTTGTTAACTTCTCCCTTAAAGACCAGCTTCTGTTTAGCACCACTCTTGGCAAAGGTATAAGCCTGCAGAAACAAAGATCAACTTAGAGATATAAACTTTCAACTGAGCAAACATTTTTGAATCAGTTCAACATATATGAATGATTGAGCACACCATGTTGTTAATGAAGATTAGAAAAGAAAGAGCAAGAGCAATACCGGGTGCTTGTAGACCACTTGCATTGATCTTTTCTCCTGCACATGAGCTTCGCCAGCTGGAATCTGAGTTACAAAAGGCAAGTGTGTGAGTGATCTCAATGCCAAAGACTGGCTTTGTGTTTGTTTTGAAGATGCAGAGAAATGCTTACGTAGGTGGTGATGTTTTGGTGACCCAACATTTGTGGTAACTGAGTGCCCATGTAGTAATAAGATGCCCCAAAATGAAATGGCTGCAGATACCCATGTGAGCTGGGCATAGAGGTGGGGATTGGCTGAGCTGGTGCAGGGACAGGAGGAGATTTCGTAGGGACTCGAGGAGCTTGCATAGGGACAGGAGGAGATTTCGTAGGGACTCGAGGAACTGGCATAGGGACTCGAGGAACTTGCATAGGGACTCGATGAACTTGCATAGTGACTGGAGGAGCTTGTGTATAATGGCGTGGTTGTGCTTGGAAATATTGCTGCATCCTCTTCAATCGATCCTCTTTGCGCTCAGCAACTCGAACAACAAGTGGTTTGCCATCAACTGAAACCCCTGTAAGCAGTAGTAGTGATCCAGATTATATATAAGCATGGCTAAGAGGAAAGATGAGCAAATCTACTTTAGTTATATAGTTTACCATTGAGCTCTCTTTTAGCCTGTTTGGACTCTTCAGGGTTAGAGAAACCCACAAAGCCGAATCCTTTACTTTTGCCATTCTCATAACGTATCACTTTGGCTGAGACTATTTTCCCGTGGCTTCCAAATATTTCTCGCAGCCTTGTTTCGTCCACTGATTCCCTCAAGTTCTTCACGTACAGATTAGACAGCTCCATGTTAAACTTGGGAATAAAGTTGTCAGTGTGTTTCTGTTTCAGCATCTCCATCCTTTCTGCTTTTTTCAGAGCCATGGCAACAAATAGCTTCTTCGATCCTACACCTGAAAGAAATGTTCTACAATCAGAAACTCTCGTCTAATCACAATGTACTAAGTGCTTGGTTCAGACGAAGAAGTACAGTTACCAGTTTGTCGTCCATTGAGAGACTCCACAGCTTTCTTAGCACTTTCTGGATGGCAGAAGTCAACAAATCCAAAACCTCGCGATCTCCCCATGCCATCCCTCATAACCACAGCACTAGAGACTGTCCCATAATGAGAAAATAGTCCAAGCAGAGTATCCTCTGTGACATACTCAAGCAGATTCTTCACATAAACGTTTGTGAATTCTTGATTTCCTGGCGTAGCTGCTCTTTCACTCTTGTTGATGAACTTAGCTACAAACCTAAGAAAGAAACACGCCAAGTAAACACCCAAACATTCAGCAGCAACCTTCAATTGATAAGAAAACCATGCTTAAAAGGCACAATCAAATACAGTTAACTTACAGTCTCTTGCCATCAACCATAGTACCATGGAGCGCACAACGAGCAGCTACAGCAGATTGTTCTGTATCAAACTGAACAAACCCAAAACCTTTACTTTGGCCATTCTCTTCAGCGACTTTGCAAGAAAGTATGGCTCCAAAGGGGTTGAACATTCGCTCTAAGCAACTGCTAGTGATGGAGCTGTCGAGATTCTTAACGAAGAGATTTCCGATTCCACTACTACGACGGTATGCGAGATCTTTCTGAGCCCACATTATTCGCATTGTTTCCCCCTTCAACTCAGTGTGGTTTAAGCAAGCCATAGCATTCGATGCTTAAACCAGAGAATAGACAAGAAACAAGAAACAAGGATTTATCAGAAAGTAATTCATCAATCGCAAGACCTCGCAAGAGTACCAATCTACAGAAATCCTAAATCGTTTAATTAAAGACGATGTTGGAGAAGAGCGAAGAACAATCGCTAGGTGTAAATCAACACAGAGAAGTTAATTTCGGAAACAGAGACGATTTCTCTTCCGAACATGAAGACGGATACACATTCGCGGCAGGAAATTTCTAGGGATTTTACAGGAATTAGGAGGTAACATGAGAAAATGGGGGAAAATAGACGAACGAAGAAACGATTGTGTGTAAACATGAACATGCGAGAGTCCGAAATCAAAATCAACACCTGAATCGAAGATTAGAACGAAGGAACGAAACGATTGAAGACGGGATAGTTTTTACCGCTAAAGGGAGAATCGAAGTTGACGTAAGCGTAGCGCATGGATTTTCCGGTGACGGAGTCGCGGCAAAGATGAACGGAGACGACGGGAACAGTCAGAGAGAATTTGCGGGTGAGATCTTCCTCCGTCACGTCCGGACTAAGATCGCCGACGTAGAGCGTAGCAAACCTAGAGGAATGCGAGTTTCCTAGCTCCTGCATTTCCGATTTCGCGACCGCCATGGTTGTTCGTAAATCCTTCTCTCTCTCTCTCTCTGTAACAAGTTTCTCCAAAAAGTTGAGCTCTGCAGGAAAAAGAGAAAAATGGAGAAGACGAGGAAAGTTGAAAATGGAAGAAGCAGAGAGGTCGTTTGTCTTCTTGTGTGTTGATACAAATCGTTCCGTTATAACCGTAATGATAGCGAGTGAGCAGCACACACACAGAGTCGCAGAGTCGGCGGTACGATATTCTGTACGGAACTACACGCGCTGCGAGTATAATTCAGTTTGATACTCGCGCTAATTTGTTCAGTCCCAAATTTTAAGATAAACCAATCAAATTATAGTGATGCTAATCAAAAGTTTTTCGTTACTCCTAGCATAATTTCTTTTCAAACTTAACAGAACACTATATTGTAATACTATACTAAATCGTATTGTAAAAAAATGAAATTTTAGCACCATATGAATTTTTAACCAAGAGCACAAAAAGGAGTTAAATGATAATTATAAGTTCATATTTAATTAAAAATACAATATGAAATATGAATTTGTATATATTAGTTTTTTGGTGCATTCATTTTCAATTGACCGCAGTATACAAACGTTTTGACTTTTTGACGTTTATTAATTTCTAAAACAAAATTAATTTGTAATAAATGAAATGGTTCCTGTTTCTTACATATCCTGATGTAGATTCTTGACAAAGTTAAACACAACTAAAATTTGATCACGGGAAACCTTTTAACAAAGTTAATTAAACTGTTGTTTAAAAAGGGCTAGAGTTTGATAGAATGTGCAGATCTTGATCAGTTGTTTTCGTTTTTTCTATTCTTTGTAAGCTTGTTTTGACTTTTGATTGTCTTCCCTTTTTCAAATTCTCTGACCTTTTTATTGCACCCCTCTTGAAATGTGACTATGGACAGGAGAGATAAACGCTATTGATTCAGGTGTGTAAATGATATAGTTGTTGTTTTTTCAATGATTACTACCATGGTAGTCTGATGAAACTGTGTCTTGTAGGAGTTAACTATTCAATCTAAAGATAATTTGATAATTTTGTGTTTCATGACTAATGTAATTTAATATTAATGTGTTATCAATCTTGCAGAGGTTTCAATCTCTGTCCTTAGAACTTGGGTGGTGAAGTACTTTGGGGCGGTTAGGAAAATACCACCAAACAGTATCTCTATCATCAAACCAACAAATCCCATATGGGATACTAGCATGTGCCATGTACTTGAAGGTGTTGAAGGAATTCCTCTTCTTATGGTGAAGTGGACGCTTCCTCTTCAATCAGAATCTCGTATTTGGAAAAGCCTGAGATTTATCTTGTTGAGCTATTTAGTAATGGTAAGTAATGCATTCTATCTCTTCTTGTTTGATTTATTTTGCATTGGTTTAATTAGTTACTACTAACTCATGTTGATTAATTGCAGGGAAAAAAAAAAGCTTGTTTGAATTCCTCAAGAATAATGGATCATATCTCATTCTTGATTGAATTAACTACTAACTCATGTTGATAATAGCTATATGTGATTAGTTAATCCGAGATTGAAACAACAACTAGCATAAGCTAGGATCATAAACTGGTCGTTAATTGTTTTTCTACCATTTTATTATAAGAAGACTACAATAATGCCCACATTATACCATGGATGAAATGATTATGAAGTAAACTTAAATTAATATATTTTTAGTTAAAAAAATCTGGTTTAATTGTTTAATGGAGAACCTGAAATTATTTGTGTATATTTTGTTAATTTTTTGTAAGTGTTCTGTTTCACCCGTGATATAATTCTAAACAATTATTTATAGTTTAAGTTAAAAAATCAAAATAGCAAGAATTATTGTATGAAATCTGAAATTTGTGTATGTATATTTAAATTTGAATAAAAATGTGTTTTATCTATTTAATAATTTCAAATAAACAGTTTTATTTTTTTAGTTCAATAACATATAAATCATTTACATTGTCATATAAATTTGTGATATATTGCCTATAATTTGATATGTAAAATGTAAAATGTAATTAAATATTTTACGTGTTTACTGATCTTTAAAGTAAAAAAATAAAATGAATTTAATTGTAAGATTTAACATTAGATTTTTGAAATAATTTTTTTTTAAAGTTTAGAAATATATAAATATGTTTAGTTATAGGAATTATAATATTCAAGATATGTATAAATGGAAATAAATGTGTTTGGCAAATGGTGTAGAAAAATAAAATAAATCAGCAAATTTGTGAGAAAATAAAATAAAACAAATGGAAATAAAGTTAAAAAACTGAGAAAATTTGTGAGAATGGGGCACCAGCAAAATTTGCCTCCAGTGTGAAAGGAGATAAGAAATTACAACAATAAATTTTATAATCGATCGGGCCAATTCAAACGGCCGGTTCAGATATAAATCCTTAACCGAGTTTTACTTCTTCGCTCTCTCACGTGCTCTTTTAATAAACCGGTCTAATACCACAGTTACAAACCTCAACAAGAGAAATATGGAACTGAGCCCTTTAAGGAACTGAGCACTTTAGAAACTGAATACTTATTGATCGCTTGAACTGAAACAAAGCAACAGTTTTTTTTTTTTTTTAAATAGACTCGAGAGTCTAACTACATCCTAAATACTCAGCACTTGACTCCTACAAACTAGGACTGCTTATTCAAACTAACTTGACTGAAACAAACTGAAACCAATTCCACAAGATTAACTGCAAAGGCCTATAAGATTAACCGCTCTCTTCTTTCAATGGGATTGGTATAATGCCATAGCGAAGTGGAGCAAAACCAAAACCAAATAGTAAGTGCCTAATACCATTAAGCTGTTTAAAATAGTATTTTCTTCTTGGTTCCCTGCTTTATCCGTTACTCAGTTTTGCTACTCTAATGTTGCTTGCCTCTCTTTTGTAATTTCAGAGAGCTAAGAGGTGTTTGTCTGGATTTTTAAAGGAGCTTCCTCTAGTTTATTGTCTCTGCGTGTAGCTATATGTTCTTGTGAATATGAGATTCTACAGGTGAGGGATCTTAGAGAATGTGAAGCTACAAGACTGCTATTTTCAGGGGGAATGCAGTGAATGCAAGTCTGTTGCTTGGTGTAAGCTGGGCGATGTATGATCAAGAAGTGTAAGCTTTTGACAAGGTGGCAATAGCAAAGATTCAAGCTATGTTCTGCAGATTTTTGTTTGGTTTAACCACATGTTAATGGCTCTCAATGTTGTTATGCATCGAAAGTCTTTCTAAGTATGTGTTTTATTTTTTTTGGCTGCAAAGGAGTATAAGATCAGTGATCTATGAGATTGATGCATATGGTTTTATGGTGTATCAACCTAAGTTGTAGCATCATCATGAATAATGCTCCATGTAAAGAGTGAACAAGGCTGCTGAAATTAATGGTTCTTTGGGTATAAATGAATTAGTTGGTATGGCTGCAGGAGAAAGATCATGTGTCCCACGCTTTGGCACACAACCTCAAGCAAGAAGCCATGGTGAGTTTTTTCTGATATAGAAGAACAAGTGAGTGATTCCAAGATTACAGTGAATAATGGTTTTAACTTTGGAGTTCTTCAACTCTTGCTGTTTCTTATTTTTTTCTTAAAAAGGGTTAACTATTGCTGTTTCTTTATGTCCAAAACAACAACATTAGAAAATTTTAATCAAGATATGAGAGATAACTTAGAAGTGACTGAAGATTATTGACCCAAACAAATTGTGATAGGAATGCTTGTTATTTAATTTACATATAAAAATTATATACTTTAAAAAGTAATTTTCATACGTTGTGGGTTATCTTATTGTCTTTTTAGTTAAACCGTCTCATAAGAAAATTAGCAAAATATAAAGATTGAATAATATACGTTGTTCATTCAAAGTTGGCGAACCAAAAGTAGGTAAAAAAGGCACTAAAATATATAACAAGATTGGAATTGCGAAAACGTATTGTGTTTCCACGTGTTTAGTGCTTTAGTGAAAGTTGTCTTGAAATATGGCGTGAATCACATTGTGTAGATTTGATACTTGTAAAGAAAGTTAAACTACGCACCCTCTAGTCTGGTCTGAAGCTCGGATCATTCAATTTTGAAGGTATACATGAGAAAATGTGCATACGTACTTAAGCTGATAAATGCCAATTTCCCAACTCCCAATTATTGCTCCGGTATGATATCATATTTCACGACTAATTATCATAAAAGTTCATATAATATATCTACTAGATAAGCTAAAATAATAAAGCTCATAGCATCATATATTCAAATGTAATCACGACCAAAAAAATATATTCAAATGTAATATACATACATCCCAAATACAGTTTAATATTTTGAAAATAGCCTTTCGTATATATATTAATGATACAAGAGGCTAAGAGCGATGAACATCCCATGCAGATCAGTTCATCCATAAGATACATGTTTGGCTATGAACAGCTTCTTTCTCCGTTATTACAAATGGTGAATTTGAAAAATGGGTTCGCTGCCGCAATCTTTTACCTGTATTGTATACATATACGAATAGGTGTTATACAGTAGTATAAAACAGAGTCAAAGGAGGAGGTGACTATGTTCAAAGTAAATAAATACGTAAAATAGTTATAATTTTAAATTAAAAAATATGAATAAATAACAAACATAGCAGGTGAAATGATTCCTCTTTCTTTTTATTTACCAACTAAGTAAAGTTTGTTGTGATATGGTTCCTTTCCAAACACAGCCTTAATTTCCCGACTTTTGCGTCCAAATATCCTCAGTCAACCAAGTCTATTGTCAATGCTTGGTCGAAATTATTTCATCTTCAAGCAGTATACAAGCGACGTTTGACCTTTTGACGTTAATTAATTGGTACACCGCCACTGCCAGAACAAATTGTTACTGTATTTGTATCTAAGCACAAAAAACAAAATGCAAAAGACATTCTGATCAGATGAGGTAGCTAGAGGAACACTGCCATGGCCAATAATATTCAACAAATACTCCATCAGATTGGCCGTGTCTTCTGTATGGTTTATTGTTTCATATTTCTAATGTTACTTTACTTTTTTAATGTCTGAAAATGCATTATTCAAAGAGATAACGGAGAATTCGAAGCAAATAAACATCTAAACAGAGCATATAGCTCTGAAACAACACGAGACAGCATCAAAGTCCTACAAATATGGAAATGCAGATGCTGAAGGATCCATCTCGATGAGGACGCTCAAGCAACCACGATGAACCCCTCCCATAACCAAGTATGAATGGAATCTACCATCTCTTGTTATGCTTTTAGAATTATCTCGAGCGATAAGATTGGAAGCTGACTTCTCCATTTCATATTTCAGGTTTTAAGTTTAACCAATAAATATTGTATATAGGCTAGATTAGAACTTGCTATAACTCGTGAAAAAAGATATATATTAAAATCCGATCACATGCAAAATAAAATGAAATTATGAACTCATGTGTCAATAATAGAGTAAAGGTCAAATGTATGCCCAAAAACCCGCAAAAATTATGCTCAATAATAGTATAAAGGTCAAAGGTGTATTATTTGTGCCATTTAAAAAATAAAAACGTGGAAACTACAGATCCAGTCGGGATATGGATTGAGCGCAACAACAGGCTGCATAACCAAGTCACATCTTCTCCTCATGCTATCTTTAAAACGATCGATCAGCAGATTCGTGACACAATTCTAGCTAAAAGAAATCGCAAAAACGTCGGTGACCCTAATGCAAACTTGGCTCACCTATGACTGATCTACTGTACTCTCTTTGCGTTTGGTTTTGTATGGCTTTTTAATTTTTGTGGGAAATGAATGCATTTATGATTACAGATTAATTGTCCAGAGCATTCTGATGTTTCTTTATGAATTTTTCATCAACTTGAGCATGTAACCTTGTTCCCTAAGTTGAAAAGCGTTAATGATTACAGATTGGCCATTGCATTCTGATACTTCTTTATAAATTCTTCATCAACTTGCAAGTACCGTTGATCTCTCAATTGATCATGTACCGTTGTTCCCTATAAACACACAAATTACTGTTAAACTAAATTTGTTTACTTTAACAAAAATATAAAAATATAACTACATTACACTATTTAAACATTTTTATCTGGAGAATATTAAAACAAAATTTTCTACAAATTCTGAATAAATTTTAGGCCTACAACAGAGCATAAAAACATTCGTAAAAAGAAAAGAAGCATGAAATATTTGTCTAATATATATTATTGTTTTCCTTCCCGCATAATTTTTTTTATTATCTGAACGGTACATAATCCTTCCAATTATAAAACTCTTAAACCTCAGTTTTCTTGACAAAAAAGGAAAACCTCAGGTTTCACATGTTTGCTTATGAATTATGATAGATACTAGATGGATCATAATTGTATAGTAGAGACAGTTGGAATATTATATTAGCGTATACCTATCGAAAATCATTCTTACGATCAACTCGCAGTCTAGCAGTTGAAAACAACTCATAATGATTCAAAGCAACAAATATTTTAGTTGGATCGCGGCTCCCGAGTTAATATAATATATCAAGAAATACGTCGACATGTAATTCCATGGGCCAATAAATACCCGTAATTTTCCCATAATGGATCATCACACAGATCATTACTTTCTTCTGAGGTTAGCTACCTTCACATCTCCCTCCTCTCTCCCATATGATTGTATAGTTCGTATAGTATTTGGTTATAACTGCTTCGTGTTTTCATTACAGGTACTATTATTCGTAAGACTAATCAAAAGCAAGCGAGAGAGATGGCCCTTAACCTCCTTAACCTTCTTAAGGTGGACCTTAACCTTCTTAAGGTGGAAGCACAAGGAGGAAATGGCGGCGACCAATGGGATGATGGATCCGAACACGACGCTGTGACCAAGATTCAGGTCGCAGCAGGAGGGGAGGGTATTCTATCTGTTCAGTTCGACTATGTCAAGAACGGTCAAGCCGAAGAAGCCCCTCTCCACGGTGGCCAGGGCAATAGTACCGAAGCTGATCCGGCTATTTCACTTTCCCTGCTCGGTATTCTATCTGTTCAGCTCGGACATGTCAAGAACGGTCAAGCCGAAGAAGCCCCTCTCCAAGCTGATCCGGTTATTTCACTTTCCCTGCCCATTTGTCTTCATGTTTCTCTCTATATAATTATTATGAAATCCACGTGAATTAGTATAATTTCAAGATGAGAGATATTGTTAATATAATACTTTTTATTATATTATGAAGTTATTGACATAGTGATCTTGATCTCTACAGTTTGTGATTGACCATCCAGAGGAGCATCTGGTTTCTGTAGAAGGTTGGTATGACCCCGAAGGAATCATCCTGGGGCTTAAGTTCATATCCAACAAGAAGACTTCTGATGTGATTGGATATGAAGGTGGTACTCCATTTACTCTCCAAGTTCAAGGCAAGAAGATCGTTGGCTTTCATGGCTTCGCCGGAGAAAATCTTAATTCTCTTGGAGCTTACTTTGCTCCGTTGACCAAAAAGCTAGAAGCAAAGGGTGGCGAGGCAGGAGAAGTATGGGATGATGGCACTTTTGAAAGTGTTAGAAAGGTGTATATAGGGCACGGGGAAAATGGTGTAGCCTTTGTCAAGTTTGAGTATGTTGATGGTTCTGATCAAGTTGTTGTTGGAGATGAACATGGAACGATGACAGAGTCAGGAGCTGATGAGGTAATAATGTCAATATATTTACATTGAGGTTGGTGAAGAGGGTCTTGTTTATTGGGTTCACGTTGAGAATTTTCTTGGTCTTTTTTTATATTTTTGCAGTTTGAGGTTGATGCGGATGACTACATCGTATATGTGGAAGGTTACCATGGGAAAATTGATGGGGAAGACACAGAAATCATCATGGCTCTTTTATTCAAGACTTATAAAGGCAAAACCTCTCCGCGGTATGGAGTCAAGTCCGGTATAAGATTTGTGCTCCAAGGTGGCAACATCGTTGGTTTTCACGGACGTTCCACTGATGTTCTACACTCTCTCGGGGCGTATATGTCTCTCGGGGCCTATATGTCTCTGAAATCCACTACAACATTGCTTGGAAAGTGGACGAAGGTAACAAATTTGATATTGACTTAATTATTAAAAAAAAAAACTTGACTATTGCGTTGACTTTACCACTGCAAAAAAAGCGGGCCGCGGAATCATTGCGCGTGTCGCATGCAGCTAATCACACCCTCTCTCTTTAAAACTAAAACAATATTTAACAAATTAATATATTTAATCAACAAAAAATATTAATTTTTAAGGTGGAGCAAAACGGAGGGGAGGGTCCAGGGCCAAGAAGCGCACATGACATAGTACAAGTAGGAAACAAGATTTACTCCTTTGGTGGAGAGTTGACAGCAAACCAACCCATCGACAAAGAGCTTTACGTCTTTGACCTGGAGACCCAAACTTGGTCCGTTGCTCCAGCCACCGGAGACGTTCCTCACCTCTCTTGCTTAGGCGTCTACCTGGTATCAGTTGGAACCACTATCTATACCTTTGGAGGCCGAGACGCTTCCCGACAATACAATGGTTTCTCCTCGTATGACACGACCAATAACGAGTGGAAGCTGCTCACTCCGCTCGAAGAGGGACCTACTCCTCGTAGCTTCCACACGATGGCAGCTGATGAGAACAACGTTTATGTTTTCGGTGGAGTGAGTGCTACGGCTCGGCTCAACACACTAGACGCTTACAACATCGCTGAACAAAAGTGGGTGCAGTGTTCCACCGAAGAGTCTCCAAGCATAAGAGGAGGAGCCGGGCTCGAGGTGGTGCAAGGAAAGGTTTGGGTGGTCTATGGATTCGATGGATGTGAATTAGATGATATTCATTACTATGACCCTGTTGAAGACAAGTGGACACAAGTGGAAACCACCGGTGAGAAGCCTTGCGCTAGGAGTGTGTTCGCTAGTGCAGTTGTTGGGAAACACATTTTGGTCTTTGGAGGTGAGATTGCAATGGACCCACAAGCTCACGTGGGACCGGGTCAACTGTGTGATGGGACTTTTGCCTTGGATACAGAGACGTTGACGTGGGAGAGGGTTGATAAGTTAGATGATGATGAGACTCCAGGTGTCAGGGGATGGTTGGCTTCCGCGAGTGGAACCATTGATGGGAAGCAAGGGCTTGTGATTTTTGGTGGGAAATCTCAAACCAATGACCGGTTTGGTGATCTCTTCTTCTATGGAATTGAATCCGCTTAAACGCGTCAATGAAAACGCTGTTTGACGAAGACCGTTTGTGTGCGAGTGTGTGATGCATGCAATAAAGGGAAGGTCGCATACCATATGGTCCTTTCATCAGCTTGCTATCTGTTTCATTTTTTTTTTATAATTTCCTTATATATGTGTGTTTCATTTTTCTTTTCTTTTTTGTTAAAGAATGTGTTTCATGTTTCGTGTTAATAAATTGCTTATTTTCTCCAAATAAATCGTCAGATAATAAGAGCCAAACTAAGAAAGGAGAGGCATATATAGCTTATATGCAATTAAATGAAAACCCATGTTTGAAACTTAAAAAACAAAACGCGTTAGACGAGCCATGCAGGCATGCATGATTCATAAATATAAATTAAAATCCTTTTGCGTATACGAAAGCGACACTAGTCCTAATCCAGGGGGTTGAAGAGGTGATAAAGAGATGGATCTACAAGGATCAATACTCATCTGCTGCTCTTCCTTTTCTTATTAAAAATCCTTTAAAACCGGACAGTTGGATCCAAAAAGCGAACGAAAAGAATGAAAAGCATTGAATGGATATAAAGCTGTTACACTAGGTACATAATTGTTTCGAGATTAAAGAAGTAGCTTTAATCTATAAATCAAACTCTTACATAAGCCTTCTTTCACACTTTTGGTTTCTTTTTCTTTTTCATATATTTTTGCTTTATCAATTGTGTTCACTATCTGCGTCATTGGTAATCGTTTATGAAAAATATCATTGCTGTCAAAGATCATCACATATATTTTTGACAAAAAGAAATCATTACATATCCTCAAAACAAATAAAGTACCTCCAGGACTACCCTTGTTTTGACTTTTGGCACATCAAATTCACGTGTTGCACGTTCGGTGAAGTACAATGTTTTCTTTCATTAAAAGATTTATATGTTTATAAAAGATATATATACCACCTTGCTTACCTAAAACGTTTTGACTTTTGGCAGTGGCACCATCACGTTTCACGTGTTAACAGTTCCAAGCAATACAGTTTGACGGTAGAAATATACATGATACAGTATATCTCTGTCGAATAAAAGTATAAAACAAAATGAGGGTAGGAATACACATGATATATCTCTCTCGAATAAAAGTACATATTTAAATAAAATGGGGAGCCAGTGGAGTGGATGCCTACAGTGTACAAAATGGGACCTATCATTCCAGAACACTATCTGAACTTTTGTTGTGTTTTGGTAGAGAAATCATATCCCTTACCCTCATTTTGTTTGGTCACGAAATCTCATGATACTTATAAATGTACACAGACTCAATCGATCTTAAGCATAAAAATGTAGACAATGTTTTTACATTAACCAAATGTAGTGAAAATAGCTCAAACCCTAATTTCAACCTACACAAATGCACGGAAGTGTTACAGGAATACTGAAAGAGTGTGATTTATATACACTCTGTATTTATTCTTCGGTTCGTTTGCTATGTGTTTTAATTCCTCTGTTTTGTTTTTTTTTTTAACTGTTCTGTTTCTCTTTTTGTTTAAGTTTGAACTTAACTATCCTTTTATCACCGAAACTTAGGGAAGCTATAGCGATGTTGCAAGATACAACACAAGTTACACAACTATTGTGATTTGTGAACATCTCGATTTTTGGTGCAATACCGTTTTTCAAAACGAAATTGAGGTAAAGGTGGGGCAAAGCTTCTTGGGCTCTATGGAAGGTGTGGTTCTGCTATAAGAGCTCACTTTTTCGTGGTCATGGGAAGAAGTAACTTCTTGGAACAGAGAAGGTTTCTTGCTCTGTTCTCACATTTACCAAATAACGTTTTCTTGAGATCCAATTTTCACGGGTCTTTGTTTTTTTGTTTTCTCTTCTTGTCTCAGTTTGAGCTCGATTTTCCAAATGAATACATCGTGTCGGTGGAGGGATCTTACGATAAAGTTTTTGGAACTGAAGTGGAAGTGGTGAGTATGCTTACGTTTAAAGCAAACAAGCGTACCTCTCTACCGTTTGGGCTCGACGCAGGCACAACGTTTGAGTTCTATGGCAAAGTTGGAGATATGATTCATCAAGCTGGTGTCCATGTCTCGTCAATCCCCAAGTCTGGAAAAGCATTTGAGAGCTTTTCTCTTGACTTCATGAAATAAACAAAAGCTCTATCTGCTTGTTGCTCCTCTGCTTATACTCTCTTTTAACTATATCCTTATGTCGTTGGTTTTTGTTTCATGTAAGAGGGTTTCGTAAATTTTTCGAATCATTCCTTTTTTGTTTTCTTGATACTAAATTAGAATACCAATATTGATTACAGTAGAGATGGCTAGATCCGTATGATCCGGTTACATAACGAACATGTATTATTTCTATACATGGATCTACATATTGGTTAGCCATCTATTAAAGTTACCAAATTGTCAACAAAATGGCTCCCGATAAGGTCGATAGTCACAACTTGGACCTTATAGCAGTAATTGATCTTTCATAACAAAACTGATATAGGACCCTGTGATATTGTAATAGCTAACTACCTCACTGCAATAATTGATCCTTGTAAATACATTGATCTACTTTTTGTTTATATATTATAGTTACCAAATTGTCAACCAAATGGCTCCGGATAAGGAGGTCTATAAGTCACACAATTGTAACTAAAAAGAATTGCAACTTGAACCTTATAGCAATAATTGATCTTTCATAATAAAACTGATATACGACCTTGTGAATTTTAAATAGCTAACTAGCTCACTGCCATCGTTCCATGGCCCAAACATAAAGACGTTTAGTTGAGAAGTTATGAAGTTACAAGTATATGATTATTCTAACATGCAATTTTTTTTTTGTTTCCTTGTCTAAATTTTTTATAAATATGTCAGGAAATTAAAACAAAATTTATTTCGCTGAAACGTGGTTATATTCCAGTATTCCACCCCAATCGGCTTTGGTTTGTGACGGAAGGAACTCATGGCTTCGATGGTTTGACGTGCTTGGGCCATGAAACGATGTTTGGACCAGTGTTCAATGAGAAGTTCGTTTTCAACCATTCTCTTCTCTTTGGTTGCCTGCTAATTTCACTTTATGCTTTAAGTTATAGCCGTCGGCTTCGTAGTTATATGAAGTTGTTGTTTCAGTAAAATCCATCAGATGACAAAAGTAAAAAAATTCCATCCATCGAGATAAGAGAGCTCTACTATACAACATTTCAAGTAGACTATGACAGGTCAGGGAGTAGAAGACTTATAAATGTTTCGAGATTTCTCATCCATCGGATCATAATTGCCTTTTTCCTTTTGAATGGTCACGATCCCTTGTACTCGACTTCCGCGTTTCCCGCCCTTACGTCATCATGGGACTTTGTTTTTTATAAAACACAAAAGCATTTGATTGACTTAAATAGTCCCTGAATGTTTTTGTTTTGTGAAACTAGTCCCTGCTATAGGACGAAATAGAAAATAAAGAAAAATAGAAAGTTTTTTTTTCTCTAAAACTGAAAAAAACAACACAGAGGAAAGAGATGGAGTATAATTATCTGCTGGGTAATGTACAGTACAGTACACTAGAGATCAAATCAGATTAGAGAGGCTCATAAAATGTTCAAAATCAGCTTCTATTTTCCTTGAATGTATATAATATATAGCAAGTTACGGGGTCCAACTGTAAATAACATAACATGTGATCTTTTAGTGAAATACTGCTCTGTTTTTTCCAAGCCTAAATCACAAAAGGGTTTCTCTTTCACTCTCTCACTCTCACTCTCAGACTCTCAGTCAAGACTCTCGTCCATCAAACTCCATGGATGAAGATGGGGATTCGCTTCCACGTTTCTTCATCAAGGTTTTCCTCTCTGAAACGGCCTCTGAATCCATGGTGACAATCTCTCTGTCTCTCCTTCCTTCTTTCACAGCTGTAGTAGGAAAAATCTGATACTTTAGATAAGTTAAGGTTAATTAGCAGTTGGGGTTTCGTTTTTATACTGTTTTCTGCATCAAATCGAAAAAAGAGAGAACAAGCTGTGACTTGTAAGTGTCAAGTGATTAAGACTTGTGGAATTCTTGCTTTGTTTCCCCAATCTTAACTTTGCTCACATTTTTACTAGTTTAGTTTCTGTCCACCATTAGTATGTGCCCTTGTCTTATTGCAGATGAACCTGATTCGTAGAATTCCTGTTCCAATTGGACTTGTATACATCTTTGTTTCTGCTTCTTCTATTGAAAGGGGGTGAAGTCTAATTGTGTAATTAATCATTAAGATTCGTATAGCTATGCAATTTATATTCATGATGTAACTAGGTTAATCATGAGTCTTGACTCTTGGATATCTTCCAAGTGTCTTTATGTTTTTGTCTGCTTCTTATAAGATCCACTCTTTCTCACTGTGCTGGATTTTTTCAGGCGATCCCATTGTCCTTCATGGAACTTCTTGAAGATCCACTACCACAGACGGCAAAGCTCCAAGGCACCGGAGGAAGAACATGGACTGTGAGCTTCACGAGAATAAGAGAGCGTGCGTACTTCACAACCGGATGGTCCAGATTTGCAGAGGACCACGAGCTCGTGGACGGAGAGTTCATGACGTTTGTCTACGACGGTTACCATACATTTGAAGTCAGCGTCTTCGCTCGTTCTGGTGTTAAAGTGACAAGAGCTGTAGCGAAAACGATCAGCCTCTCAGACTCTGATTCTGAGGCCTATGAAGAAGAAGAAGAAGAAGAAGACACTTCAGTGGACGAAACCAGCGAGAGTATTTACTCTGTAAGCAGTGAAGAGACAGAAACCGAAGGTGCTATTATGTTCAAATCATTTCGCATTGTGAATCAGAATCCATAACACTAATAACTAAGATTGTTTCTGTCACAGCTGTTGTAGGGAGCTCAGCGAATCCTTGCTTTTACACCATTCTCAAGAACAGGCCAAATGATCTGGTAAGAAAAGAAGACTATAAGATTTGGTTTGTCTATGTCTACTTCAAGATGAGTTTTATAGGCTTTCTTGTTTTTTTTTTGTTTTTGTCAAGCAGCTAATCCCATCAAAAGATGTGAGAGACCATGGCCTTAGGTTTGGTCAGACAATCAAGTTCATTGATAAAGAAGGGACCATGGTTGGAGAAAGAGCTAAGTATGGAGATGATAGGGTTTGCTTCAAAGCTTGGGACAGAGTTTGCAGAAGAAACAAGTTGAAAAAGCAAGACACCATCAGATGCGAGCTTCTCCATACCAACAAACTCGTTCACTCCATCAGAATCCACATCACACGTGGAGGTTGATTCACTTATCATCACTATCACCATCATCATAACCATTCCTATGGCTTAGTATTAGTTTTGTTTGTTTCCGGATTGTTGTGAAATTGTACTTTCTTCATCCTTAAGATACCTTATGAACTTAGGGCTGTTTCTTGTTGTAACTTGACTGCTAATTATGTAATAACTCTATGCTTTTTATTGTATGTTTGCAAAGGTGATTAACTCTATGCTTTTTCTATTGTCTAAATGCGCATCTTAGCGTTTGAGAAATCTTGAAAACAGAGAATTTAGATATGGTTGAGAGTTATTTACAACTTAATCGAAATAATTCACATCAATTTGCATATACGAAGATAGAGATCAGAAGTAGATTGCATACAATGTTGCTATGATATCGTGTTTTTTAAAAAATAGGTGTATTATTTATCATACCATTAATGTCAACTACTCAAATTAAACACTTTTGCATTGTATCCACAAAAACTTCATATTTTAATGACTCGTGGTGCACGAGATTATATAACAAAATATATCCTTACTTCCACTAAATCATTGATGGCTATGAGCCTATGAAGTCAATAAATACACACGCAAGTCTTCGTAATGGATCACTACTATCTTTTCTCTCTTTTCAGGTCAGCTTCTACTCTCTCAAGATAATAGTTTTGTAAAATATTTCTTTTTATAAATATTTTGTTCTAAACAGTTTGTGTTCGTAATTATTTAACTGAACAGGTTATTCGCAACATTTAATCAAAAGCAAGCACAAAAGGGATGGCTCAAAAGGTGGCAGCACAAGGAGGAAATGGTGGTAACCAATGGGATGATGGATCTGAACACGACGCTGTGACCAAGATTCAGGTCGCAGCAGGAGGGAAAGGTATTGAATATGTTAAGTTCGACTATGTCAAGAACGGTAAAACCGTAGAAGCCCCTCTTCGCAGCGTCAAGGGCCGTGCTTTCCCAGCTGATCCGGTTCGGTTCTTACTCACTATCCTTGCCTCTGTTGTCTAACTTTGTTAAGGGCATATTTGTAATAAAGTTTTTTTTTGTTTTGTTTTGTTAATGTTTTGAAGTTATTGAACTTTTGATCTTGATCTTTGGCTCATTGCAGTTTGTGATTAACCATCCAGAGGAGCATCTAGTTTCTGTGGAGGGTTGGTATGATTCCTCTAATGTCATTCAGGGAATCCAATTCAAATCCAACAAGAAGACTTCTGATTACTTCGGCTATGAGTTCGATGGTAGCGGTACTAAATTTACTCTACAAGTTCAAGACAAGAAGATCATTGGGTTTCATGGTTCCTCTGGCACCAATCTCAACACCATTGGGGCTTATTTCGTTCCATCAGGCTCCACCTCCACCACCACTCCCGCTCCTGCCCCTGCGAAGAAGCTGGAAGCTCAGGGTGGTGCAACAGGAGCTGTGTGGGACGATGGTCATCACGACGATGTTAAAAAAGTATATGTAGGACAAGGCCAAGATGGTATTGGAGCTGTCAAGTTTGAGTACGTAACTGGTTCCAACGTAACCACTTTGGAACATGGAAAGCCAACATTGCTTGGATATGAGGAGGTACGTTTAAAACAGATTTTGTCATTGTTTATGCAATCTATGTGGAACTTGTTTCAATATATTTCGTTATGCTTTCCTCTTGTGCAGTTTGCGCTTGAATCAGGTGAATACATCACATCCGTGGAAGGAACCTACGACAAAATCTTTGGGACTGACAGTGATGTAATAACGATGCTCATTTTCAAGACTAGCAAGAACAGAACATCTGACCCGTTTGGGCTTGAAGGAAGCACAAGGTTTGTATTGAAGGAGGAAGGTTACAAGATTACCGGGTTCCATGGACGTGCTTCTGATTCTACTGCAGATTCTGGTGCTGATATTCATGCTATTGGAGTTTATATAGCTCCACTAGGCACCATCCCCTTGGATCCTGCTCAACCATCCAAGAAGCTTGATGCACTTGGTGGTGATGGAGGAACTTCATGGAATGATGGTGTTTTCGATGGTGTAAGAAAAGTGTCCGTAGGACAAGCCCAAGATGGTGTTGGAGCGGTCAAGTTTGTGTATGGCAAAGGAGCTGAGGTTGTAGTAGGAGATGAGCATGGAGCAAGTACATTGCTTGGATTCGAAGAGGTACACTAACTTAGTTCTTGCTTTGTCTTTTAAATTTTTTATTAAAGCCATATGAGTTTCTTTCTTCTTAATTATAATTATTTTTAATTTGTTGCAGTTTGAGCTTGACTATCCAAGTGAATACATCACGGCTGTTGATGGAACCTATGATAAAATCTTTGGGAGTGAAACCACAATCATAACCATGCTTAGGTTCAAGACTAATAAGCAAACGTATGGTCCCTTTGGGCTTGAAGCTGGCACAGCCTTCGTAGTCAAAGAGGAAGGTTACAAGATCGTTGGGTTCCATGGAACCGCCGGTAATCTGCTTCATAAAGTTGGAGCCCACGTCCTGCCAATCAACTGATCATGGATATCTTCAATTTGTTACACTTTGTGGTCTGTGAACTATGAATAAGCTGATACTTGTGTTTCAAGTCTTCTCTTTGATAAAACATGGTCCGTTTTAAGTTTGTCATTTGTGATGTCTTTGATTCCATATTTTTCACCTGTTGGCTCCTGAATAAGCTGTTTAATGTACCTCTTTACTGGTTCTGTATGTTTATGTTTTAAGGTTCAAGTGTTTATAATTATCGTCTCCTTTTGTGTATGTTTGTTCTGTCTATCATGTTATATGTGATCGTTTAATAAAGGTAGTTGATTCATCCATATTAATTGCACACTAGGTGCCATCGTGCTCAACGCAAAACGCATCTTAGAATTAAGTCATTGCAAGTTTGCGTTGACTACTGCATGTTCATAATAGATCTTTCTTACCGACTAAATTAGTTTTCGAATAAACTACGTGCTTTATTGGGTGAGTTTAATTATAATATGTATTAGGTGAGTTTAATCTTATTTTTAATAAATTTTGTTGGACTTTTCAAATCCATTGTTGTTGGTGTACTTGTTGTGTAACATCCGTAAACCAAAAAGGTGCAGTTTTGGTCGAGTGTCGACCGACACCACAGGTTTGTGTCGGTCGACACCAGCTCTGGTTTGCAATTTCGGTTCAATTTGAGTTGGTTTAGACCGGTTAAGGGCTTGGAAACCCTTGTTCACGAAATAAAATCGTGACCGCCGTCCTCTTCCTGAGTTTTGTCGTTTAGTGGGCGACTGTGAGAGGAGAAGAGTTTTCTGAGGTGATTCCAGTGTTTGGTGTTAAATCCGAGTCTGTTCATCAGCGATTCAGAGTTCTGGGTGTGTGTGGTGGTGCTGCGTGGTGTTCTTCGTCGTTCCTTGCTTCAGTTCATCTTCTTCAATTCGTTTTCCCCTCTTTTCAACCTAGAATCGAGGTGAGTGCATGACTGTGGGTCCGTGATTGCTAGATTCAAGATATGTATGTGTTTATGTGATGATTTTGTGACGATATTGATGTTTAATTCAGTGTTTATGGATGTTTGATGATTTCCTGTGAATTCGAGTTTCAGGTACTGTTCATAGATCTGGTTTTTAATCGGTGTAATTGTTTAAGAATTGTGTCGGTGACATCAAGGTTCGGTCGACACAGTTAATCTGGTTAATTGATTTAATTGGTTTAATTGAAATTGACTGGTTTAATCAATTGGAAATGGTTTAAATTGGATTGGTTTAATTAATTAATGGTATTTAATTAATTAAATGGTTTAAAATAATTATTTTAATTATTTTAAAATATGGAAAATTATTATTTAATTATGAGAATTATTTAATAATTGAGAAATGAGTTTTAATTATTAAAATTATTTAATAATTGGAAAATGGTATTTAATAATTATTGGAGTTTATAAATATTATTAAATATCTAGTAAATTGCGTAAATGGCTCGTAGGCAGAGTGATTGCCTCACTAAGTATTTATTAAATACTTACGCAACTCCATTCCAATGTGTTGCAGGTAAAAGATTTGTGTGATCGCGGAATCAAGGCTGAAGAGGGGGATGATAGGATGTTTACTGTTTTATTGTTTTGCATTTTTTGCTAGACTTGTTTAATTTATTATTTATTATTTATTTGAATTTATTTGTTATTGATTTTTATTTATTTAATTTATTTAAAGACCTTCGCTAGAATTGTTTAATTTTATTAAAAAAAAAATGTTGGTTGTTTCATTTTGGTATCAGAGCCTAGACGGTTTTAGGACTGTTAGAATTGCTAGGCTTTAGTATCATCCCCTTCAGCTACAAGAGATTCCGCGGTGAGTTTATGTTGTGTTTGAGTTTTGGTTGTGTTCTAGTTGCTCATTTCGGTTCCATGAGTGAGATGGACGGAGTAGCTAGAGGTTGTGGCGCGAGAGGGCGCGGTGCTCGAGCCGTGGTGGCAGAGCTAGAGGCCGTGGAGGCCGGGGCCGGTCGTGGACTTCGGCGGATTCGGGAGAGAGTGTGGCGCCTAGTGTGGCGATTGCGTCGGTGACCCAGTCGGTATCCGTGGCGAGTGAGGCCAGTGTGGATGCGAGTGTTGGTTTGGGAGCGGGGGCTGCTCCGGGTTGGGGTGGTGCTCCGGCTCAGGGTCTTGATGACTTAGTGGTGGGTTTGCTGACGCAGTTATTGGCTCGTTTTCCGCCAGTGGTTCCACAGGGGGCTCCGGGAGTACCTCCAGTGGCAGAGGTGCAGCAGAGGGCTGCGAGGTTGTTCAGCCGCAGGCTGTGGGTTTGTGGTGCCGCCTATCTGGATATGATGGGGCACATGCAGAGGATTGGTACGCCGTACTTTGAGGGCGGAGTTAGCCGAGGCGGCGAGTGTTGTAGAGATTGGAGCGGAATTTTCAGTCTATCAGTTGTCTGTTTAGTATCAGGTGGAGTTAGCAGTCACTATCTGAGTGGTGACGCGCATTTTTGGTGGTTTACCTTGTTCTTTTTGTCTGTGATAGAATTGTGAGGTTCTCAACGCAATGTGTGTAATGACCTTGTTAGTGGGCGGTTTTGAGTCCCACGTTTTATTCGACTCTGGAGCATCGAATTGCTTCATTACACCGGAGCGTGCCGAGAAGAGTGGCATCCGGAGTAGCGCGGGCGAGAGCGCGGGCATGGTCAAGGTGGCGGGAGGTGGATTCTTGTCTACTTTGGGCCGTGCTAGAGGAGTCGAGATCGAGATTGCGGGGCAGTCAATGCCAGCAGACTTAGTCATCAGTCCGGTGGAGCTGTATGACGTTATTCTCGGGATGGACTGGTTGTCACACTACAGAGTTCATCTGGATTGCTACAGAGGTAGAGTGGTCTTCGAGCGAGATGCAGGGAGGTTGGTTTATCAGGGAGTGAGACCGACTTCCGGGAGTATTGTGATATCTGCTATTCAGGCCGAGCAGTTGTTAGAGCGGGGCTGTGAGGCGTATCTGGCGACGATTTCTATGTCTGAGTCAGGAGCTGGAGTTGTTATGGGAGATATTGAGGTTGTCCAGGATTTTGAGGATGTCTTTCAGTCACTGAAGGGATTACCACCATCTCGGTCTGATCCTTTCACGATTGAGTTAGAGCCGGGGACAGCACCGATATCGAAGACGCCTTACAGGATGGCGCCAGCTGAGTTGGCAGAGCTGAAGAAGCAGATAGAGGACCTTTTGTCTAAGGGGTTCATTCGACCAAGTGTTTCACCGTGGGGAGCACCGGTGTTGTTTGTGAAGAAGAAGGATGGCAGTTTCAGACTTTGTATCGATTACAGAGGTCTTAACCGAGTCACTGTGAAGAACAGGTACCCACTCCCGAGGATTGATGAGTTGTTGGATCAGTTGAGGGGTGCTACTTGGTTCTCCAAGATTGACTTGGCATCGGGGTATCATCAGATCCCGATAGATGAGGCAGATGTCAGGAAGACTGCTTTCAGGACGCGTTATGGGCATTTTGAGTTTGTGGTTATGCCTTTCGGTTTGACTAACGCGCCGGCAGCCTTCATGAGATTGATGAACGACGTGTTCAGGGAGTATTTGGACGTGTTTGTCATCATTTTCATTGATGATATTCTGGTATACTCGAGGAGTCAGGAGGAGCATGCGACTCACTTGAGGTTGGTTCTGGAGAAGCTTCGGGAGCAGAAGCTTTTTGCTAAGTTGAGCAAGTGCAGTTTCTGGCAGCGAGAGATGGGATTTCTTGGCCACATTGTTTCTGCAGAGGGAGTTTCTGTGGATCCGGCTAAGATTGAGGCTATCAGAGATTGGCCTAGACCTAGTAGTGCCACCGAGATCAGGAGTTTTCTGGGTTTGGCAGGATACTACAGGAGGTTCGTCAAGGGGTTTGCTACCATGGCGCAGCCGATGACGAAGTTGACCGGGAAGGATGTCCCGTTTGTTTGGTCAGCTGAGTGTGAGGAGAGCTTTAGTCAGCTCAAGGAGATGTTGACTACTACACCAGTGTTGGCGTTACCCGAGCCAGGGAAGCCTTACATGGTGTATACAGATGCTTCAGGCATTGGTCTTGGTTGTGTGCTGATGCAGGAGGGCAGAGTGATAGCATATGCTTCGAGACAGTGGCAGGGCAGTGAGCGTAACCGTCCTACACATGACTTAGAGTTGGGAGCAGTGATCTTCGCGTTGAAGATTTGGAGGTCTTACTTGCTAGGTGAGACAGTACAGGTCTTCACGGATCACAAGAGTTTGCAGCATATCTTCACTCAGCCGATGATGAACGCGAGACAGACGCGCTGGGTTGAGTTCTTGGCGGACTATCAGGTGAGCATTAACTACCATCCGGGCAAGGCTAACCTAGTGGCGGACGCGTTGAGTAGACGGAGGTATGATTCCGCAGTTGAGCGAGATGTGGAGTCTCTAGTTGGCGAGATCAGTACCTTGCGTTTGTGTGCCATTTCGCAGGAGCCTTTGGGTTTAGAGGCAGTGGATCAGGCGGATCTACTTAGCAGGATCAGAGTTGCTCAGCAGAGTGATCAGAGTTTGCTGGATGCGACGAGAGTGACTGGTTCTGAGTATGAGGTCTCTGCGAATGGGACTATCTTGGTTCGTGGGCGAGTTTGTGTGCCTAAGGATGTGGAGTTGAGACATCAGATTTTGGGAGAGGCTCATGCGAGCAAGTTTTCCATTCATCCAGGGAGCGACCAAGATGTACCATGACCTCAAGAGGTACTATCATTGGGTCGGGATGAAGAGGGATGTAGCAGACTGGGTTGCGAAGTGCAACACTTGTGCCTTGGTGAAGGCAGAGCATCAGGTTCCGGGTGGTCTTTTGCAGAGTTTACCCATTCCAGAGTGGAAGTGGGACAGGATTACGATGGATTTCGTGGTTGGACTACCTGTTTCGAGGACTTTCGATGCTATTGGGTGATTGTGGATCGGTTGACTAAGTCCGCACATTTCTTGGCCATCAAGAAGACAGATGGAGCTGCTGTCTTGGCTAGGAAGTTTGTGCGAGAGATTGTGAGGCTGCATGGAGTGCCAGCTAGTATTGTGTCAGACCGTGATCCCAGATTCACTTCAGAGTTTTGGAGAGCTTTTCAGGCAGAGATGGGCACTAAGGTGCATTTGAGTACAGCTTATCATCCGCAGACAGATGGTCAGTCAGAGAGGACTATTCAGACTTTGGAGGATTTGCTGAGGATGTGTGTGTTGGATTGGGGTGGCCATTGGGCAGATCACCTGAGCTTAGTTGAGTTTGCATACAACAACAGCTTTCAGGCGAGTATTGGCATGGCTCCATTTGAGGCTTTGTATGGGAGGCCATGTAGGACACCCCTATGCTGGACCCAAGTGGGGGAGCGCAGCATGTATGGAGCTACTTATGTTCAGGAGACGACAGAGAAGGTTCGTGTTGTGAGGCTGAACATGAAGGAGGCTCAGGATAGGCAGAAGAGTTATGCAGATAGACGCAGACGAGAGCTTGAGTTTCAGGTGGGAGATAGAGTTTATCTCAAGATGGCTATGTTGAGGGGTCCTAACAGATCCATAGCAGAGAACAAGCTGAGTCCGCGATTTATGGGTCCGTTTCCAGTAGTGGAGCGAGTTGGGCCATTGGCTTACAGGCTGGAGTTGCCTGAGATTATGAAAGCCTTTCACAAGGTTTTTCATGTGTCGATGCTGAGGAAGTGTCTTCACCCTACAGAGGAGTTAGTGGCTAGGATTCCAGAGGATCTTCAGCCAGATTTGACAGTGCCGGCAGTGCCTGTGAGGATTTTAGAGAGGAGGGAAAAGGTTCTGAGGAACAAGAGGATTCCCTTACTGAGGATTTTGTGGGATTGCAGTGGTTCTACAGAGGAGACTTGGGAGCCAGAGGCAAAGATGAAGTTGAAGTTCAGGAAGTGGTTCGACAAGCAGGTCGAGGAGTGAGCTTATTTCATCTTTGTAGCCTCAGTTGTTATTTTTGGCTTTGGTGTTATTGTATTTTCGTTTTCGTTGTAACGATATACATTTTGGAGTTTTAATGAGATGCAGTTTTCCTCATTTTGCCTTGTGTTGTGAAATGGTATTCGGATGTTACACATGTTTGACCAGTTTTTGGTTGTGAGACGGTCTAATCTTATGGTTATAGACATTTTCCGGAATTTTTACTCTAAGGATTGCGATCCTGAATAACTCATCATGATTTTTGGAGACTTCGTTCTCTGGCAGACTCTCTGGGTGCAAGTAGGCCTCAGTTGAGTGTAGCTTATCTGGGTGCAAGTAGGCCTCAGTATAAGCAGTTTTGTTCATCTGGGTGCAAGTGGCCTCAGTATGGACGGTTTCGGGTTCGTCTGGGTGCAAGTGGGCCTCAGTGCGGACCGGTGTGGACTTGTCTGGGTGCAAGTGGGCCTCAGTACAAGTGGTTTGTGTGTTTTGGATGATGAGTTAGGAGTGAAAATTTCTTGGAACGTGTTTATGACATAAGATTTGACGTTTGTCTCGGGGATCAGGTGAGGATCTCCGTGTTGCGGCCTTGCGAGGTCGGGTTTTGTGGTCTTTGTGACGTTTGGTTGGGATTCGAGGACGAATCCAGTTTAGTGGGGGAGAGTTGTAACATCCGTAAACCAAAAATGTGCAGTGTCGAGCGACACCAAGGTTTGTGTCGGTCGACACCAGCTCTGGTTTGCAATTTCGGTTCAATTTGAGTTGGTTTAGACCGGTTAAGGGCTTGGAAACCCTTGTTCACGAAATAAAATCGCGCAGCCGTCCTCTTCCTCTAGTTTTGTCGTTTAGTGGGCGATTGTGAGAGGAGAAGAGTTTTCTGAGGTGATTCCAGTGTTTGGTGTTAAATCCGAGTCTGTTCATCAGCGATTCAGAGTTCTGGGTGTGTGTGGTGGTGCTGCGTGGTGTTCTTCGTCGTTCCTTGCTTCAGTTCATCTTCTCCAATTCGTTTTCCCCTCTTTTCAACCTAGAATCGAGGTGAGTGCATGACTGTGGGTCCGTGATTGCTAGATTCAGATATGTATGTGTTTATGTGGTGATTTTGTGATGATATTGATGTTTGATTCAGTGTTTATGGTTGTTTGATGATTTCCTGTGAATTCGAGTTTCGGGTACTGTTCATAGCCCGATCTGGGTTTTTCCAGAATCGGTGTCGGTCGACACCAAGCTGGTGTCGGTCGACACAACCGGTTAACTCTGGTTAAAATCAATTTAATTGGTTTAATTGAATTTGGCTGGTTTAAATCAATTGGATGGTTTAATCGATTTTGGTTGGTTTAATTCGTATTTAATTAATTAATGAGTATTTAATTAATTAAATGGTTTAAAATTTTAAAATATGGAAAATTATTATTTAATTATGAGAATTATTTAATAATTGAGAAATTGAGTTTTAATTATTAAAATTATTTAATAATTGGAAAATGGTATTTAATAATTATTGGAGTTTATAAATATTATTAAATATCTAGTAAATTGCGTAAATGGCTCGTAGGCAGAGTGATTGCCTCACTAAGTATTTATTAAATACTTACGCAACTCCATTCCAATGTGTTGCAGGTAAAAGATTTGTGTGATCGCGGAATCAAGGCTGAAGAGGGGGATGATAGGATGTTTACTGTTTTATTGTTTTGCATTGTTTGACTTGCTAGTACCTGGTGTTTAGGTTGCTAGTATTTCCTTTAATTATTTATTTGAATTTATTTGTTGAACCTGATTTATTATTTATTTATTTATTTAAAGACTTCCGCTGAATTGTTATTTAATTTATTTATTAAAAAAAAAATGTTGGTTGTTTCATTTTGGTATCAGAGCCTAGACGGTTTTAGGACAGCTAGAATTGCTAGGCTTAGTATCATCCCCTTCAGCTAAAGGAGATTCCGCGGTGAGTTTTGGTGTTTGTATTTTTGGTGTTATTGTCTAGTTGCTCATGTTCGGGTCCATGCAGTGAGATGGACGGAGCTCCTAGAGGTCGTGGCGCGAGAGGGCGCGGTGCTAGAGGTCGTGGCGGCAGAGTGGCCGTGGCGGCAGAGCTGGTGGTAGAGCTGGAGGCCGAGCAGGCCGAGGTCGTGGTCGTGGACTTCCGGAGGAGTCGGGAGAGAGTGCGGCACCGAGTGTGCATACTGCGTCGGTGACCCAGTCAGTTCCGTTGGCGGGTGATGCCAGTGTGAGTGTTGGTTTGGGAGCGGGGGCTGCTCCGGGTGGGGGTGGCGCTCCGGCTCCGGGTCGTGATGACTTAGTGGTGGGGTTGCTGACGCAGCTATTGGCTCGTTTTCCGCCGGTGGTTCCACAGGGGGCTCCAGGAGTACCGCCAGTGGCAGAGGTGCAGCATGTTGCTGCAGACGTTGCGCAGCCGGAGGCTGTGGGTGCGGGTGTGACCAGTTATTTGGAGTTTATGGGCCACATGCAGAAGATTGGTACGCCTTTCTTCGAGGGCAGGGTTGGTCCAGAGGAGGCAGACGCGTGGCGTCAGAGAGTGGAGCGGAACTTTCATTCGATCCGTTGTCCGATAGAGTACTGGGTGGAGTTAGCGGTCCACTATTTGAGTGGCGATGCTCATTTGTGGTGGCAGGCCGCGGTGGGCCGGAGGGCATTTTGGACTTGGGGCGACTTCCTTGTGGAGTTCAACGCCAAGTATTTCCCGAGGCAGGCTCGTGATCGTCTTCAGATGCGGTTTATGGGCATTGAGCAGGGTTCGCGTTCTGTACGCGAGTATGATGCGGAGTTCAGTCGACTGTTGGTGCATGCAGGCTTTGGCATGGAGGCCAAGCATCAGTTGACGAACAAATTTCTGGAGGGACTTCGCAAGGATATTCGGACTCTATGCAGGAGCAGTACGCACAGTTCGAGGGTGAGTCTGGTAGAGTTGGCTGCGTCGATCGAGGCGGATCTTGGTGGGCCGGTGAGCCGGCCCGGCGCTGTTAGGGCTGCAGACCAATACACAGATCAATTGGTGGTAGCTTCCTGTAGGGAAGGCTACTTAAAGGGTGAGGTCTCAGGTTCGAGTCTCACCAACAACCTAGGTTGATATAGTGGCAGTGGCCTTATACACCGGAGGGGTTGGGGTGTATTGGGCTGCAGCCCTAACAGCGCCGGGCCGGCGGTGGGCCGGTGAGCCGGGCTGTTACACCTAAACCGGAGACGGACTATCCCAAGCTCCATCCGCAGCATCGAAAACAACAAATGGAGGAAAAGCCCACATCACGCTTTGCCATCCACACTAGCAACAAGTGGGGGGAAAAGGTCACTCCACGTCGTGCTGCCGCTTAACGTCACCTCTAAAAGCAAACTCTTATACTCCTTAAAAGCTGGTTCTAAGAGAGCATCATCGGAAAGCGACACTTAGAGGCATCAAGTCTATCCACGCCTCAGCTTCATCCTCACACTCCCACTGCCAATAACCACCTTCCAACTCCGATTCGTTGTCCTCGAGCAGTTCCGCAAACTGAAAAGAGAAAAAGGGAGGAGTTTGGAAAACTAAGCTCTATCATATATTTCGTTTTTAAAAACATTTATAAATTAACTAGATTAGGTCCCGCGTACACGCGGGTTTATTAAACAAAATTTGATCACTTTTTGAATTCATTATATGAAATAGAAAAACTTTCATGTGTCTAAATCTAATCGACTCATTAATTTATGAAACTTTGATTATTCCATTGATGAAATCTTTATTTTTATTGATGAAATTTTATTTTTAATATTGTTTTACCTAAGAAAAAAATGGAAACTAAAATATTTAATATTAGAAGATCGGTCCATTATAAAATTTTCTTTTTAATATTTTAGTTCCTTGATAATTATTTTGCCGGTCCTCTATTTATATTGTTTCTTTTTCAATTTTGTTTTTTGCCTCTAACCATTATAAATTTTCATTTTCATTATTAGTTAGTTGTTTTACAATTATTTTATTAGTTTATTTATTTATGTTACTCCATTTTTCCAATTTTCTTTTGTTGACACATTTCATCACCTGATTAAATATTGGACATGATTTTTGATTTCTTAATGAGAAAGAAACTATTTTAAATATAGCTTGTTATATATTGGTTTTTGTTTTCCTTTTCTTAATGGGAATATGTTTTTTTATTCCTTTTCTTACTGGATGTAATATTTTTTAATTTATTTCATTATGTTTTTCTGATTTTTCGTTTTTTTTTATTTTTCGTAATAGAATTATATTTTTTCTATACTTTTCCTAATGGATGTTATATTTTTCGTTTAATTGTTTGTTTCTTTTTTCTGATTTTTCCTAATGTACTAATATGATTTTATTTATTACATTATTTTGAATTTAATATGTGTTTAGATAATATAAATTTGATGAAGGGAAACCTTTTTCTATTAGGATATGACAAATATGATTTTTTTTTTTATTCTAATAGATAATTTTTTTTTAATTTTCCAACTAAACTATTTAATATTAGAAGATCGGTCCATTATAAAATTTTCTTTTTAATATTTTAGTTCCTTGATAATTATTTTGTCGGTTCTCTATTTATATTGTTTCTTTTTCAATTTTGTTTTTGCCTCTAACCATTACAAATTTTCATTTTCATTATTAGTTAGTTGTTTTACAATTATTTTATTAGTTTATTTATTTATGTTACTCCATTTTTTCAATTTTCTTTTGTTGACACATTTCATCACCTGATTAAATATTGGATATGATTTTTGATTTCTTAATGAGAAAGAAACTATTTTAAATATAACTTGTTATATATTGGTTTTTGTTTTCATTTTCTTAATGGGAATATGTTTTTTTTATTCCTTTTCTTACTCGATGTAATAGTTTTTAATTATTTCCTCATGTTTTTCTGAATTTTTTTTTCGTAATAGAATTATATTTTTTCTATACTTTCGTTTAATTGTTTGTTTCTTTTCTTCTGATTTTTTTAATAATATACTAATATTATTTTATTTATACATTATTTTGAATTTATTATGTGTTTATATAATATAATTTTGATTAATGGAAAACCTTTTTCTATTAGGATATGACAAATATGAATTTTATATTTATTCTAATAGATATAAAAAAAAATTAATTTTCCTTATTCTAACATTTTTTTAAATTTGTTTTTTCTCTAGACACGTGTCACGAATTTTAACGGACTTAATATTAAAAGTGACACATGTCGTAATCTTATATTTTATAAAAATCTTACGTGTCGTAATTAAGTCGCGCACATCCAGCTTTATATAATAAAATAATAGTAGAATTTTAATATTTTAGTATTTACGCTAACATTATTTTGAATTCTAAAAGATTATTTTACGTAAAAATATAAAAACGTTACTTTGAATTATTTCACAAGTAAAACACATTGCGATATAAATGGATCACAAATTCAAACATACACAAAGGAATCTCAAATTTCATATAATAATAATCATAGAGAGAATGAAAAAGCAAATAAGCCACAAAGATCACCATTTTTGTAATTAAGTTTTAAACATTCTTCGATATGTTTGAGGCAATCGAAAGATATGCTCTATCACTGAGATTGAACAGTTCCATCAATATTAAAAACGTATTGTGTCCCTTTGTTTTGGTAGACATCCAGAAAGCTTGATATGCTTTCAAGGTTGTTATTAATATCTTATATAGATATTAATAGCAAAATATTATTTCTTCCAATTCCCAATAACTCTCACAATCCCCATCAGATAATAAGAACACTTGTAACTGACTCTGACGTCCGAATTTTAACCCAATTTTTTCTTCTTAAGCTTTGACGCCGAGCCATGCTTCCTGGAATTCATAACAATTAACAAGACTCCGATGTGTAGTGTAGACATTAATTCTAGTCATACGCAACAAGAGAAATGCAGTAAACAAGCTGCTTCAAATCTAAGAAACTTAACAGATGCGCAATATATTGCAGAGGCAGTAGCGTCACTGTTCCTATAATATTTTGTTAACATCTCTGGAAGTTACAGTCAGTCAGAAACAGAGTTTAATTTTCTGCAGAACTTAACCACCGGACTAACTTCATCCTCCCAAAAGTGTTCCAACACAAAAGACTCGTATATCTTTACGCCATGAGTTTCACAGAATTTTCTCCAGCCTTTTCCAAATCTCATGATTCCTTTACTTTTTTCCTTAAAAAGATTAACCACCTGTTTTACTCCATCTTCACCCAACAGAGTTATTCCGGACACTCTAATGGCGTTTTTTCACTGTTTGAAGTGCACAAAGAAAGAACAGGATTTTCCCCGGTTTCAACCAGTTTAATCATGAAGGGATCTCCAGCTTTGATCCTGTTTACTTGGCAGAAATTTCTCCAGCCTGGTCCGGTATATGTTTGGTTTTGTGAGTCGTAGTGCCTCAAAGCTAACGTCCATCGTCTTCCCCACTCATTCTTTAAAACTATCTCACTGCATTCTTTGCCCAGACCATTTTCAGCCGCAAACTTCCTCGGAAAATACTGCAAAACGCCACATTATATACTAATCAAGAAGTAACAATTGAAGTTGGGATGATCCTTCTCTAAGTAAAGAAATGTTTGAGTTTAAGATAGTGGAATAAACCAAAGTTTTTGTATTCACCAGTTTATCATATTCAAGGCTAGAAGGAGTGACAACTCCCACATAACAAGAATGGTGTAATGAAGATTTTGGATCTGATTCTGGTATATGTTGAATATATTCTGGTTCTGCTTCTGATTCTGATTCTGAGACTGATACTGGCTCTGGTTTATCTTCTCCAAGGCACAAACGGATGATGGGTGGTCCAGATTTTTGGACTAGTTTGAATGTGTAGTGACCTTGTTTCATCCTATTTTCAGCGCAGAAGCTTCTCCAACCAGGTTTGGCATAAGTCTGCATGCCTGCTTCGCTGTGCTTCAAATATAAGGTCCATCCTCTTCCTTGTTCGTTTTCAAGAACGATCTTCTCGCCGTTCAGTTTGTGCAGACCGTTTGACTTAGAGAAAGCCAGTGGAAAATACTGAAATATCACATAGCAGAGTTAGTTTAATGGTCTCTCTCTCTGACTAACAGATTTTTTTATTTAAGCCATTTGTAATTTGTAAAGAGCGTTTTTGCTTAAACTAACCAGACGGTCACTAGTTAGGCTCGAAGCTGAGACATTTGCCACAAAACAAGAATGATCTGATGAAGAATCTTCTTTCTTTCTTGGATTCTTCTTCACTCTCTTTCTTGAACTGTTTCCTGTTACTAAGAGTAGTAAAAAAAAAGAATCTTAGTTTTGCTTCTTTTTTTACAGACTTTTTAGTACATTTCATAGAGAAAAAGTGTACCAGTGTCATTGATGTTGTTGTGAGATGATGTATATTGAATCTGACAGAAACTTGGTCCTAGAGCTGTGACATGAAACACCATATCTCCTTCATGTCTGAAAACGGTGATGTCACCGATCCTGAGATCATGCGCGACTGCAAAAGCTTCCCAGCCGTCGGTGAGTTTCAAGCCGTCCATCTTCACTGCCCAGGTTTCATCCGACGCATCTGATCTCAGCTGCGCAGTCTTGTTGTGGTCGTTTCTTCCTTCGAGGTAATTGGAGAAGAACGCTACAGGAATGTTCTGCAGCAACATGCAACACAATTTAACCTAGATGAATCATTTCTTATGGAAATTATGGTCTAAGACAAGAGAGAAGAACAGAGTACGAGGTGAGTGTGGAAGTCGGGAAGAAGAGGCTGGAAGAAATGTGGGTTGGTCGGAGACTGAAGAGGTTGATCCGCCATTGTCGTCGACGAGACACCTCAATAAATCCCTGAATTTTTTTTAATCCAGAACAGAGAGAAAAACAGAGATCTTGTGGTGGTTTCCGTGTTTCATGTAAAGGTGAGAACTTTATGAGAGAGAGAGAGGTTAATATTTTAAAAATACTTGTCTTCTTCTTCGTCTTGTTTTCTCGAGGTGGACATCGATGGTGAATAATAGTTTCGATTTTGTTATTTTTTTATCTTTTATTTTTTCCCAGAAATTTTTGTCGTGTCAATCAACACCAGATCTTTTTACCTCTCAGAAACCACTTTCAGAAAAAGATTTTTCATCTGCTTTTTAGAGCCGTTGATCTTCGATAGAGATCTGCACAAGAATCTAGCCAAAAACAGGTAACAAAATGACAACGTTGACCTTATGATTCATTTCAATTAACCAAGGTTCAAGAAGATATTTAAAAATTAATAGCAATTTGGTGAAATCTTGGAATAGGCGATTTGGCGATTTCCCCTCTTTCGAACCCTAGTTTGCTTGCAGTTTAATTTCGCGATGTCGGAGGCTCAGCCTCACCCTCCTTACCCTCCAGATCCAAATTCTTCTCACCCTGTTGAAGTGGAGATGACTGATTCTCCAATTTAACCAAGGTTTTAATTCTCCGGATGGTGCAGCTCCGTCGTCTTTTCCTGCCCCAAGCTCTGTGGGGTGTGGTTCAGGTTTCAGTTGGGCTCAGAATCTTAGCCAAACTAATAAGATTCCTGAATCTACAGCTCCAGTGATGATTTCAGATTCAGGTAGACCCCGAGTCAAAGTAGCGAATGAAATTTTTGCAAGAGGAGCAAAGCTTCACAGTGATTATGTTGTTGGCATCTTCTATGGGAAACCCCCTTCCTATGGGAAAATTTGGGGTGTCCTAAACTACCTATGGGGAAAGGACAAGCGAGTCGCAATTCATAATCTGATGAAGAACGCCTTCCTCTTTCATATCCCATCTTTCTTATTTTTTTTTTTTTTTTTTTTTATTTTTTTTTTTTTTTTTTTTTTTTTTTTTTTTTTTTTTTTTTTTTTTTTTTTTTTTTTTTTTTTTTTTTTTTTTTTTTTTTTTTTTTTTTTTTTTTTTTTTCATAATCTGATGAAGAACGCCTTCCTCTTTCATATCCCATCTCCTTCTTTGCGGAGGAAAATCTTGCAACACGAGCTATGGAGAGTTGGGGATTCTCCTTTCTTCGTCACTGAGTGGCGTTCAGAGTTTAGTTTCAATCCACCTTCCCTCGATCGTGCTCCGGTTTGGGCATCTATCAAGGGTATTCCTTTTGATCTAATTACACCGGAAGGTTTGGGAATTGTTTGTCGTTCTTTGGGAAGGGCGGTGGATCATAAGCCTTTTACGAGTATAAATTCAGCTGAGGTTAAAGTTGTCGTGGACTTGACAAAACCTCTTCCTCCTGAGGTGGAGCTGGAGCGTGATGATGGTAAGATTTTGGTCCTTCAAGTGACATATCCTTGGCTCCCTCCGTCATGCTCTCTCTGTGGTGAAATCGGGCATAAGGAAGCTCTGTGCCCTCGTGTCTATGGCCCGGAAAACAAACCTCGTGCTTATGGCTTTGATAATAGGCAAAAAACTCAAGCAAAGAACCGTTCAGGAGCTCCTTCTAGTGAGCATTCTCAGAACCCAAGGAAGGAGAACTTTTCTAGTAAGCAAGCAACTTGGAAGCCAGTTGATCCGTCTCCAAAGATTTCACCTTCTAAGGCAAGACAATCATCTGCTTTACCGCTAGTTGTTGTTCCAAATGCTAAGCCTTCTCCTCAGTCTTCTCTAGTGATCCATGAGGAACAACCTTTGTCAGATAAGAGTTCTTTGGAATTGGTTGTTGTTGATAAGCCCTCTCGTCTACATCCTAAGCCTCTGCTTCAGAAATCATCCTCATTGTCTTCTCCCTCCATTACCGAAACCTCCAACCCTTTTGATATCCTCCAGGAAGACAGGTTGGCTCTGTATATTACAGATAGTTCTTCAAAGTCTGCTGATCTCGATTCCACATCTCTGGGCTCTAAGAAAAAGAGGAAGGTTTCTGCTTCTGCTGGTTTAGATCCGAGTGGTGATCACCCTCCTCCAGGGGTGAGGCATCACACATCCTAATCTCCATATGTCTAACATATTTTTTTGGAACGTGCGGGGTCTCAATGAAGTGTCTAAGCATCGTCCTCTTAGGAACTGGATGTATAATAGATCGGTTTCTTTTGGTGCGCTTCTGGAGACGCATGTTGGCGAAGTAAATATAGGCCGTATATTATCAGACTTAGGACCTCAGTGGTCTCTCATATCTAACTATGAGTTTTCGGAGCTAGGAAGGATCTGGATTATCTATAAAGATCATGTAGCAGTTCGTGTTCTCTTCAAAGATCAGCAATCCATTACATGTGAGGTGCAGTTGCAGAATGAAGACCCTTTCGTTTATACAGCGGTCTACGCTTCGAACCTGGAGGAAGAGAGAAGATGTTTGTGGGAATCCATAAAGATACTTTTATATCTTTTCACTTGTCCCAGAGAGTTTGGATAGTCAATGGGGATTTCAATGAAATTACCTTCCCGTTTGAGACTTCTAATCCAACTTGTCATCGGTCTACTAGAGGTATGCAAGATTTCAGGGATTGTTTGGCTGTTTCAGAGCTGTTTGATCTCCCTTTTCAAGGTCCGCGTTTCACCTGGTCAAATCACAGAACAGAGGACCCCATTGCAAAGAAGCTTGATCGATGTCTGATTAATGGTGCATGGCTTCATCGTTACCCGGCAAGCCATTGCTTCTTTGAATCTCCGGAGTTTTCTGATCATTGCCCATGCCTTATCCGCCTATCATCTCCATCTCCGTCTTTTGGCTCCCACCCTTTCAGGTTTTTAAACCTCATGACTAAGCATCCGTGGTTTTTAGAGACGGTTCATCACTTTTGGAATGAGGCAGGCAATTTAGCCTTGAATCTTAGAGATTTCAGCTTTAAGTTGAAACAATCAAAGAGACCTCTGAAATCTCTGTTTCAAGAGAACTACAGTGATATAGAGAGAAGAGTCTCTGAAGCTTCTTCTGTCCTTTCTTCTCTTCAACTGATTTCTCTGAATGATCCCTCTGAGGCTAATCTTTTGTTGGAATCAGTGGCTAAGCTTGCGTACGGCTGAAGAGAGTTTCTTCAAGCAGCGTTCACGCATTAAATGGTTGGGTGAAGGAGTCCTAAATACTAAATTTTTCCATTCCACCACTACTGCGAGAAATGCTAAGAACTCGATCAAACAGCTTGTGAAAACAGATGGCACAAGGACTTCCTCTCTTCAAGAGGTACATGAGACGGCGGTTGCTTACTATGCAGCTTTCTTAACCACTATTCGAGGTACCTTTTGTCCAGCTCTTCCTCGCTATTTGGAGTCCTTGATAACTACTTCTTGCTCATCTACACAGCAAGCCTTCCTTTCCCTTCTACACAGCAGAGATGGTAAAACGTTGCTTATTCCAAATGCCTTTGAATAAGACACCGGGGCCCGATGGCTTCCCAGCTGAATTCTTCAAGGCGACTTGGGATATTTTGGGTTCTGAAGTATCCTCATCTGTTTTGAACTTCTTTGAAGCAAACTTCATGCCCACTTCTCTGAATTCCACATCTCTGGTCCTCATTCCCAAAAGACCAGGCGCGGAGGAGCTCAAAGACTTCAGACCGATAGCCTGCCTCAACACTCTTTATAAGATCATTACTAAGCTGCTGTCGGAGAGGCTTAAGTTAGTTCTTCCAAGTATTGTTCTGTCAAATCAGACAGCCTTCGTGAAGGATCGTCTCCTGTTAGAAAATGTGCTGTTGGCAACGGAAGTCATGCAAGGTTACCACAAAGCAGGCATTGGGAGCAGAATCACTCTAAAAGTGGATATTTCGAAAGCTTTTGACTCGGTCAGATGGGATTTCCTACTGAGTGTTCTTCAAGCTTATAGGTTCCCCTTATCTTTCATCAAATGGATCAGGTGCTGTGTTTGCTCTCCTTCCTATTCGATCAGCATCAATGGTGTAACTTCAGGTTATTTTAAGGGGAAAACTGGACTGAGGCAGGGTGATCCTCTATCACCAATCCTTTTTGTTCTGATTATGAATGTTCTGTCTTTTATGCTCAACAAGGCAGCTATGGAAGGGGTTTATAATTATCATCCGGGTTGTGAAGACCTTCAACTTACTCATCTTTGTTTCGCAGATGATCTCCTTATTTTCTTAGAAGGATCTGAACGTTCTTTGAGAGGTGTTCTATCAGTTCTCTCTGCTTTTGAGAGGATGTCGGGTCTTGGCATTAATCTCCAGAAAACGTCCATGTTTTGTCAAGGATTAGATGCTACTTCTCTTGACAATATCAAATCCCATTTCAATCTGGAGGCTTCATCTCTTCCTATTCGTTACTTGGGACTTCCTCTTTCCTCCAAGAAGTTGTCTATTGGTGATTGTGATCCTTTGATCGTACAGATCCAGAAAAAGCTTGACTCTTGGACGAATAAGTTTTTGAGCTTTGCTGGTCGTCTGACCTTACTTTCCTCAGTGATATCTGGGATTATAGGTTTTTGGACAAGTGCATTCATTCTTCCTAAGAAGGTTATCAGGAGGATTAATAGTCTATCTAGCTCCTTCTTGTGGCATGGCAGAACAGGAATCTCTACTGGAGCAAAGGTTGCTTGGAAATTGTTATCTTCCCCAAAGATGGAAGGTGGACTCGGCATTAAGGACACTGTAAGTTGGAACAATGCTTCAATCTTGAAACTGATATGGTTGTTATTTTTTCGGGCGGGCTCTATCTGGGTTGCTTGGATTCGTCGAAGCTATATCTCTAATTCCTCTTTCTGGGCATTGAACGAGAAGAATTACTCTTATTCGTGGATGTTTAGAAAGATTCTGAAGCTTCGTAAATTAGCCATTCAGTTTCTTCGTATCAAGCTTGGCAATGGGGACTCGACTTTCTTCTGGTGGGATCCCTGGACACTCTTTGGTCAATTACATGTTTTCCTGGGTGAGGATGGACCTTCCCGCTTAGGAATCCCTCTTTCTGCAACGGTCTCTGAAGTTTGGGATCATACTGGCTGGACTCTTCCACCTGCGCGTACAGAACGCCAAGTCACTCTTCACACCTATCTTCTCTCTGTTGGCTGTTCTTCTCAATCTGATAGGCCAATATGGCTAATCAAGGACATCCCTCAACGATCTTTTTCGCTATTTAAGGTGTGGGATGAGATAAGGTTGTCAAAATCTGAAGTGGCATGGGCTCCGATTCTTTGGCATAAAGCAGGGTTGTTTCGTCACCAGACAACAACTTGGCTTTTTCTTCTTAATTGAAACCCTACCATGGACCGTATGTCCTCTTGGGGTTACGAAATAGATGGGACCTGTTTGCTTTGTCGTACAGAACCTGAATCTCGTGATCATCTCTTCTTTCAATGCTCTTACTCTGCTTTTGTTTGGAGAAAACTCTTTCTCCATCTTCAGCTTAGTAATGTTCTGATGAACTGGGGTCCGCTTCTTTCTTGGTTCCAAGTAGCTAATTTGGATGCTACAACACGATCAGCGTTGCTTCAGGCTTGGCAAGGAGCTATTTACGAACTCTGGAAGGAACGTAATCGTCGATTGCACGACGGAGTTACTCTCTCCCATAGTCAAGTGCTTAAATTTGTTCTATCCTCTGTTTTGGATAAATGTCGTGCTTTACGCATTATGGGTTCTTCACAAGGAGATTTACTTCTCCAAAAGTGGTCTCATTCCAATGGTTTTGGCTGATCTTATCTCCTTTTGTTGTTTGTATAATTTTTAGCTACTTCTTTGTAGTTTCCTTTTAATATAATTATATGAAAGCCCTTTAACAAAAAAAATACAAAATGACAACGCAAGACCGAGATGGCGAGATATTATCAAGAATGTTTTGTAGATGACGCTATCCATTGCTCACGTATTTTCTCTTCATTCAATGCTCTAGAAACAGTATCTTTAACTTTAGCTTTGAAAAAAAAAAAAAAAAATCATTAACTTTGTAAAAATCCAATTATTTTCATGTTTTTATGAGTTATACAGTTTTATTTTTTTGATAAAAGTTATGCAATCAATATTTGGATGGTTATCTTAAGGACACAAGAGGAATGTTATCAAATGGAAGCAAATTATAAGTCTTAATTCATCAATATTTGGATGGTTTTTAAACCATTTTGTATTAGTTTTTCCCACATAAGCTAATTCAAAATATTTTGTAACATAACCATTTTTATCTAAAATGTAGTTTTCACTTTGTCTTTTTATAAATAAGGAAGATTAAAAATGAAGTTTTCACAATCTTTGCATTACTTATTAAAGTCCAATGTTCCTCCTCATTCATTCATTGCCAGAACTATCTCACCGAATCCTTTATTCTGGCCTTTTAATCTCACAAACCTTTTTATCATAAAAAAAAAACTCTTTACAAAATACTGTAAACAAATTAAACACAAGTTCATGAAATTTACGAAGGTTATTCTAGTTATTTTCATACTTTTCAAAGTTATTCTACTGCATTTTCAAGGTTATTCTACTACATTTTCAATAGTTAATCATAAAAAATATTACATAGAGCAATAGAGCATAGACGCATACTTTAGAGCAACATATGACATGCCCATTATTCACTCCTATATTAACCTTCTCCTTCTGATTCTGATTATGATTCATCTTCATCTTCATCTGCTGTTTCTGACCACGGACAATAACTATCTATTTTCTCCGTCCTCACATATGGAGTATAAATGCTTGACTTAAGTAGCTTCAAATCGTTAACATTAAGATCCTCGATGTGGTTTGCAAAGTCGTAGAATCTACTACTGTCGTATAATCTACTACAATCGTCTACAAAGACGTGGACTCTACTAGGCTTGTCCAAAGATTCATGGTAATCTCCAAAACCTTGGATTTCAACACGTTGGTGAGTGTTCCTTTCAGGATTGAAGTAGAAAACATAAAATGGTTGTTTAAATGTATAATCCGCCATCGACAAAACAATTTCACCCAAGTTATCAAGAAGAGAAGGGAATAGCTCTAAAACAGTAAAAGACGACTTTTTTGGCGATAAGGCTCTCTCCTTCTCGCCGCCGGCGGTGTAGCCACACGCACACCGACGAGAACTCTCCCTCCCCTCTTCTAAAGTCTTCTCGGCTTCTAAATGGCGTCATCTTCCTCGGATCCGCCTCTCGCTCCTTCTCCAGTCCCTCCAGATCTGCTTTTCTTGTTTGGATCTTCAGATCTATCTTCGACTTCGGTTCCCATTTCGTCTCCTTCTTCTCCGGTCCCTCTCCCCAATCACTCTGAGACCCAATCTCAAATTCATCCTCCATCATCAGACAATCCTCAGTCTTGGGTTTCCCTATTCAAGTCCGCCTCTCCAAATCTTATGAAAATTGCTTCTCCAGTCCTAGACGAGGACGGAACTCCGACAGTCCGGGCACCAGACTCGATTACCTTGGGTTCTTCTCAGATCTGGAAGGATTATCTTATAGCTTATTTTCATGGAACTCCTCCCTATCCAGCTAAGATCTTTGCAGATCTGGACCCAATCTGGGGAACCAAAGGAAGAATATCAGTTAAGAAACATTCATCACGAATTTGCTTCATTCACATTCCCTCGGAAGAGATTCGTAAGTGGGCATTGGAAGTAGGATTTTGGCATTCTGGTAATTTTTCTTTCACCCTAGCTCCGTGGACACCAGACGCAAAATTAGTTCCGATGAAATTGACTCACGCCCCAGTGTGGGTCCTCTTCAAAAACATCCCACCGGAGCTTTGGTCGTTCGTAGGGTTCAGTACAATAGCTTCAGGTGTGGGTTTTCCGGTTCACTCTGAATTTCCAAAGCTCTCCCCATATACCAATGGAATCTCGAAGCTGAAGGTAGTGATTGATCTCTATAAGAAGCGTCCTCCGTTCGTGCGGATCTCAGACAGATTAGGAGCTACAGTCTTGATCGAAGCGCTCTACCCGAAACTTCCTCCCAAGTGTAGTCTCTGTAATGAGTTTGGGCATCTTCGCCTCCGCTGCCCGGAATCTCTAGCTCACCCTCTCCAGATTCCCCCTGTCGTTGCAAATCCTCCCGCAGCGATTACTCAGGACCCTTTTCAGAATCTGCAAAAATCACATTCTCAGTTGAATCCCCGGACAGAGGAGAGTGGGCTTCGTCAACAACACAACCATAAACAAGGATCTTCTAGTCTACCGTCCTCGCCTTCGTTTTCAAAGGAAAATACAAATTCTGTCAACTCTTACAGAGTCGTGAGGCGCTCTAGACCTCGGTCGGCTTCTCCTTCCTTGGCCTCAAAAACCATCTCCATTAAACCTGTGACCACGGCTGAATTTGAGGAAGAATAAGAGCTCATTAAGTCGGCTGAGGCATTAATTAAAGCTCGGTTGTCTGTGCCAATGGTGGAGGTAGATGAGGGTCCACCGTTTCAGGAAGTGGTGTATAGAAGATCGGCTAGAAGACGCAGGAGACAAAATCTGCTATCTCTTTCTCTTTCAGGATCGCCTCCCCAGGTTGATCCCAACATTCCACAGCAATCCCTGTCATTGGGTCCGGATTGTTCTCTGAAGCAGAATCCGGTCAAAGCTTTAGTTTTTGGTTCACTTGATCAGGCACCTTCGGGTTCTGGTCTGTCATCGTCTAAATAAGTCCTATTCAGCAGCCCCCTTTTTTGGTGTATATATGAAGTGCTTTTGTTGGAACGTCAGGGGCCTCAACGGCGACACTAAACAACTAGCAGTCAAAAGGTGGATCACCTTTAACCGTCCTCTTTTTGGCGGTCTTTTGGAAACTCGTGTGAAATACTCAAATTTAGCTCCGTTAATTACTCGTAACTTTCCGGGATGGAGATTTGACTCCAATCATTCTGAAGAGGCGGAAAATGGAAGAATAGTGGTTATTTGGGATCCTCTTCTTACTGTTATCCCTTATCTCAAAACGGATCAAATCTTATTATGTGGGATATTCAATCCTTTATCTAACATCACAGTGACAGTCGGGTTTGTCTACGCACATAACGAAGTTACAGAAAGGATTCCACTTTGGAATACCTTAAGACAGTTGGCTAATCAATCTCCGTTGAAGGATTCTCCGTGGCTGTAAGTTGGGGATTTTAATCAGGTTTTATCATCTCAAGAGGCATATTCCTTCAGGCCGTCTAATTCACCTCTTCAGGGCATCGCAGATTTCAGAGACTGTCTTTCAGATGCCAACCTGTTTGAGTTGTCAACCAGAGGAGTGTATCATACTTGGTCAAATAAATGTTCCTCAAATCCTAAGACGAGGAAACTTGACAGAGCTTTGATTAACGAACCTTGGCATGACTACTTTCCATCTTCAAACGCTTTCTTTGATGTTCCAGGCTGTTCAGACCATTCCCCTTGTCTAGTCACTATATCGGATTCGATCCGTAGGAGAGTGTCTCGTTTTAACTTCTTCAGCTTCTTCACATTGCATCCTGAGTATCCAAGGCTTATTTCGGAAGCTTGGAATTCTCTTATTCAACCTTCGGATTCTATGTTTGGCCTTTATCAAAAGCTTAGAGCTGCCAAATTATGCTGTAAATCTCTCAATTCTACCCGGTTTAGCAATATTCAGGACAGAGCGAAACAGGCCTTTGAGAACTTAGAAATGGTTCAGAGGCAGGTTTTACAGAATCCTTCACCAGGACTTTTTGAAGAGGAAAGGGTAGCAAGGGATGATTGGCTTTTACTTGCTTCGGCTGAAGAATCTTTCTTTAGACAAAAATCCCGTATCAGATGGTTGCAAGAGGGTGATGAAAATACAGGTTTCTTTCACAAGTCTGTTAAGTCAAATCTATCTAGGAACATCATTCATTATCTTCAAGATGGACTAGGAAACAGAGTTTCAGATCCTTTGGTCTTAAAAGGAATGGTCCTTTCTTTTTATAAGCAGCTCCTTGGAACTGCAAATCCCGAGGTATCTCCTTACTCTATCGCTGAGCTGAGATCAATTCTCTCTTTCAGATGTTCAGACTCTTTGGCTGAGAAATTAATCAAACTTCCATCAACGGAAGAAATCAAAGATGCAGTTTTTGCCTTGCCCAAGAATAAGGCTCCAGGTCCAGATGGATTCACAGTGGAATTTTTTACGACGTCATGGGATTTAGTAGGGGAAGATTTGGTGGAAGCAGTAAAGGAATTCTTTCTGAGAGGATCTTTGTTAAGACAAGTTAACGCCACAATAATTGCTCTAATCCCAAAAACCCCATGAGCTTCTATTCTTTCTGAATTCAGGCCGATCTCACTATGTAACACAGTTTACAAAGTGATCTCAAGACTTTTGGCCTCTTGTTTGAAGACCATTACATCAGAAGCGGTACAGCGAAACCAAGTGGGGTTCGTCAACGGAAGACTATTATGTGAAAACGTCCTTCTCGCTTCGGAACTAGTTAATGATTTCCACAAGCCGGGCCCACTACGAGAGGATGTCTGCAAATTGACATCACTAAAGCATACGACAACGTCAACTGGGACTTCGTTCTCAACATCTTGGAAGCCTTACAGCTTCCTCAACTTTTTATCTCGTGGATCCGCTCTTGCATCACTTCACCCCATTATCCAGTGGCGCTTAACGGAGAGTTAGTTGGATTCTTTCCGGGGAAGAAAGGGCTGAGACAAGGTGATCCGATATCTTCTTCCCTTTTTGTGTTGGCTATGGATGTTTTGTCTAAAGCTTTGGACTCTGGGGCTGCTCAGGGACGATTTAGAGTTCATCCTCTTTGTTCTGTCCCTTTGGTCACTCATCTAAGTTTCGCCGACGATTTACTGGTTTTTTTCGACGGAAAGGAAGAATCCTTGGAAGGTATCCTCGAGATTTTAAAAGACTTTCAGAAAGTTTCTGGATTAGCTAAGTTTGAGGAAGACTAGTCTTTTTCTTGATGGCAATAACTCGCAGCACACCTCTGATCTTGCTTCGAGATTTGGGCTTCGTAATGGTGCCTTGCCAGTCCGCTATCTAGGCCTGCCCTTGCTGCCTCGGAAACTATCGATTCAAGACTGTCAACCCATTTTTGATAAGGTGAAGTCAAGAATTTCTTCATGGACAGTGAGACCCCTATCTTTTGCTGGAAGGCTTCAGCTGATAAAGTCAGTTTTATATGGAATCGTTAACTTTTGGGCATCTATTTTTCCTCTCCCGAAATTTTGTTTGGAGAAAATAGAGAAGATGCTTAATGCTTTTCTTTGGAATGGAGAATCAGACTCAGCTAGGGGAGCAAGAGTGTCGTGGGAAGCAGTCTGCTCACCTAAGAAGTCGGGAGGTTTGGGATTGAGGAGGATTGCTCATATCAATCAAGTTTTCGGGCTTAAACTTATATGGATGCTCTTTGCAGAACAGGGTTCTCTGTGGGTGGCTTGGGTCAGACATAATATTATTCAGAGAAGGAATTTTTGGACCTTTGATTTCAGAGGTATTGGTAGTTGGATTTGGAGAAGGTTAGTGAAACTCCGACATCTAGCTCGCCCTCTTCTCGTATGTCAGATTTCCTCTGGGAACTCGGCTTTATTTTGGCATGACAATTGGACAACCCTGGGACCGTTAATTGACATAACGGGAGCCAATGGTCCTAGAGTGACGGGAATTCAGAGCATGGCAACGGTTTCTCAAGCAGTTGAGGACGAGACTTGGCTGCTGCCTAGAGGAAGACATCCGCTCCTCATTCTATTGCGGAATTGCCTTCCGAGCCCACCTTTGAGGTCGAATGCATCTCATTCGGATAAGTTTCTTTGGATTAACTCTCCAACCTCTCCTCCAGGGAAGTTTTCGACGGCTGCAACCTGGAAATCTCTTCATCCGAGCTCAGATACAGTATCTTGGTATTACTCAGTCTGGTTTAAAAATAATATTCCTAAGCACGCTTTTATGCTTTGGTTGGCTGTCCAAAATCGCCTCTTCACTAGGGATCGCCTCTGTTCTTGGGGACTCTCTGTTCCTGATATTTGCTTGCTATGTAATTCAGCGGCAGAATCTAGAGACCATCTCTTTTTCGTGTGTCCTTACTCGGATGTAGTATGGAGGGATTTCTTTAATCATCATTCTCTTTCACCTCCAGTCTCTTTCACTGACATTATCTCATGGGTCTCGGCACCTTTCTCATCTTCCGGAGTGAAGATTATTTGCAGTCTCATCTTTCAAGCGGTGGTGTATTTTATCTGGATGGAACGCAACCTAAGACTTCATTCAACTTCAACAAAGTCTTCCCACACTTTGGTGAAGGAAATAAAGCTTCTGTTGCGAGCAAAATTAGCTGCCTTGGATCGGCAGATTCGTTCTTTGGCTTAGGCTTCGCTCGCCCCGTCGGGTTCTTCTTCAGCCGAGAGTTTTCTCTACACTTGGTTCGAGTACTTTCAATCTTAATCTCCGGAGCTATTTTCGTCTAGCTATCACACGAGTTGTTTCCTTTACTTAGTTTCCTTTTAGTCTATCTTTCATTCATCTTGTATTTGCATTGGCTCTACCTTTGGAAAGAAGATGAATAAAAAGAACTTTGATAAAAAAAAAAAAAAAAAAAAAAAACAATTTCACCCGAAGCAGTCACACCAACAACGGAAACATAATGAAGCAAGAATTTATCATCCTTCAAAATGTATTCATATTTTGACCATTCCTGTTTCTTGAAATCCTCTAGAACCCACACACACAACACAATGGCATCATCAGCGTAATCATCATAATAAACCAAACCTAATTTGCCCAAATAGTTTATCAGTTGACAATAGCCTTCCGGGTAAATAACCTTGAATTTTTCAGACCTAACGTCAAAGCAAACTATCATAAAATCAGTCATCTCCTCATCTGACTCAGACTCAGAATCAGGCAAACCCTCAGACATGTCAGCTAAGTAATACAAGACACCATTGATGCATATCCCTTCACTCACGCTCTCATGTTTAATTAAGGGACATTTTATTGTTCTCCATTTCATTTCTCCAACTCCTAACGTCAGAATTTTATGATGATCATGACAACGTGGATAAGCCATGAACAATACCTTGAATACCTTGTCAACTGGATCAAACCCTAAAAAGCTATACGCCTTTCGGTACCTTAACAAGAAAGGTAAGGTCTCATACCGTCCCGTTTTAGGGTTACATATCACAGGCACTCCTTCGTAGTCCTCGTCTTTGATCCACATGCCATAGAAATAATTCAAGCCAGAGGCATAGCCACATGCAAATCGTCGGTCACTAGGAGGATAGATTTTCATATTTTCCTGTGGGAACTTCATATGAAACTCGGAGGCTACCACAAGAGACGACGAAGACGGCGAGTTCTCATATGGACGCACACGTTGAGGCACCGAGAAGATGCTCCACAAACCCTCTTTTTCAATGGCGAATAAGATACGCGGCTGTGCGGAAGACCTGGTCAGGAACAACTCTGTGAAATATGCACGGCTCGATATTGATGCCCATAGCTTGGACACGCATTGAAATCTCGCAACCGACTTCGCCGGCAATCTCAACAATATCTCGGTGATGAGTTCGGTGGGGATGGATTCTGAAATCATGATCGTTTTAATTCCTGATCCAACAGAGAGAGATATTTGTTAAAACGCAGCTATAAGATTTCATAGTTGATTGAGTACAAATTACGGAAGAGAGAGAGAGAGAGAGAGAGAGAGAGAGAGAGAGAGAGAGAGAGAGAGAGAGAGAGAGAGAGAGAGAGAGAGAGAGAGAGAGAGAGAGAGAGAGAGAGAGAGAGAGAGAGAGAGAGAGAGAGAGAGAGAGAGAGAGAGAGAGAGAGAGAGAGAGAGAGAGAGAGAGAGAGAGAGAGAGAGACGAGAACATACCTATAGTAATAGTTTACTGAGCTTGGTCGAGAACAACGAGACCGGAGGAGATAGAGGCACGTTCTCTGTGCTTTCTCCTTAGCAGTCGAAGGATTCAGATTTGTTTTTTTCTCTCATTTTAAGGTTTTTGAGATAAATAAACAAATTTTTTAGAGAAATACATCTTTTTGGTAAGGATTTTTTCTTCTTAAAGACTTCAACACAAAGATTATAGGGAAATTGTAGTGAATAACAATAAAAAAACCTCAAATTAACAAAGTAACTATAACGAAGCCATGGTTAGAATATGAGTTGTAATTTCTGTAATAATACCAAAAAAGACCTTAGAGAAGAGAGAGAAATGGATCATGCAAATTGAAAGAAGAGGAAATCGTGTAAATCGATTTCCATACAAATCTTTGTTTCTTTCTCTCGTGTTCTTATTTTTCTAATTCTAAATTGGTGCTGCATCTTCGTCATCAATAGTTCAACACCAATGTATTCTTTGGATTTCACCCATGTCCTGAGAATCCCATAGATCCCTGCTGATTGTCGAAACTATAATCAATAGAGAGAAATTTTTCTTTTTTCATCTTTTAGATCTCGTCACTTTTGTATCATGTCTCGATGATCTCTAAAAGAAGCTTGATGATCTCTCTTTTTCACTGTCTCACCTCTATCTGCTTCGATCGGAACAAGGTCCTCATCACTAACGCAATATGTGCAGGAATCCAAACAATCCAAAACTATATTACCCGAAAGTTCTTAGTGTATGTAGTTAATATCATGTCCCAGTTAATTGAGAACGACAATATCTTTTGAACCTATACTATTTAACGAGGTGGTTAGCCCGCGCCATGCGCGGGCATGAATTGTTTTGAAAATAAAAACATCTATAACAAAAAAATAAAAAATAAATCATAATTCAAATATTACAATAATTTTTCTAAAACAGTGAAATAAAAAGAAAACTATCAAAGTATGGTCATTAATATAATTTAAATATTCAAACCATATCAAACGTTTTAGAAAACTTCTTTATATCATTTGATCTTTATAGTATTAGTTTAAAACTTATTTAGGTGATGGTCACGCACCTTGTCCAGGTATAATATTTTTTAAAACATTAGTTATTTCATATAAGTCGTAAAATTTATGATTATATTTATCATTTTTGTTTTCGCCGTACCTTTTTTTTTTCTTTGTAAGTTTGATGTCTTATTTTTATCTTTTTTTCTCATTTTTCAACATAAACCTCTTCATTTGTTTATAGAGACACAAAAGATTTTTTATTCTTCTCCAATTATCCAATGGGATAATGACTCACACAACCTTAGAAAGTGTCCTAATGACTCACATAGTTTTTTGGAAAGTTCTGTCTTGTTAAAGAGGTACAAAAGACATAACACCCTTGCTCACACTTTTTAATAACGACTTTGCCATTAAGAAAAAAAAAGGTAACCTAGTAAGTTGTAAAAGAAAAATATTTACCATGTGTCGAGAAAGGTCGATAACCGGCGGCGAAAAATTCGGAGACTCAACTTGCTCAGATTACGGTGACGACTGAGAAGAAAGGTTTACGGAGGCAACGAAGAGATAATGTAGGTCTTTAACATTTAATTTTGATTAATACGATGAGTTCTATGTTGGTGAATTTTTGTTAAAATATTGTTGGTGAATTTTGCAGGTTCTGCAGGTGGAATGGTTAGCTGAGTGTCGGAGCAAAATACAATCTTAGGTGGTGTAGTTTCGGGTAAGCGAAATTGTAGATGAATTTTCTTTATTAGAGGTATCGGAGTCGGACAAGTATCATAGTTGAACCACTGAGTTCTTGACAGGTCTCTCGGAAGCGAAGCGTAAGAGGTCGAATTCGTAACGGCGGGAGGGACGGGACATCTGCGTGAGCGGAAAGGAAAGGTAATGTAAAAGTAAAAGATTTTTGAATATTGGGCGAGCAATTATGATAGATTTTTGTGTTCTAATTGAAGAAGGAAGGGCTGTAGATTTATTAGTATGTATAGATCTATCTCTTAGTATTAACAGATACTTGACCTTGCGGTATATATATGAGTTCCGGTTAGTTTGAAATGGACATCTTATTGTAAACTTTGTTCGCAGAGATGGGTTCTTCTACATTGGGGAGGGAATACCCGGGGAGATTGTTCCCAGCCGGAAAATCTCCTTTGCAAGATCGAAGCTTGCATCACAACTGCAAGTTGACGGAGTTTGGGCAACTGAAGCAATCTGTAGGAGAAGAAGTTTTCAATGACGTTATGAGTACATCTCAAGTGGGCATTATTCTGAAGCTTGCCTCAAGGAGTTACATGTGGTGTGCGAAGACATGTCATAACCTCCTAACACATCAATTGGCTATTGAGTCGAGTACCGAGATATGGTCACTATTTGGAGGTCGGCCAATTAGGTTTTCTCTCCACGAGTTTGGGGAAATCACACAGCTAAACTGTAAAGAGTTTGACCGTAATGATGATTTGCAAGTAGAACACACTTGGTTTTGGGACCTGGTCGGCATTAAAGATGGGCAAGGACCTTCTTGGCATGAGTTGAACGGAGCGCTTGGCAGATGCAGCACTTGGACGTACGAGCAGAAGAGAATGCTTGCGCTGCTGTTTGTTGTGCACATTGGAATATATGGCATTTCTCGGTCTAGTAGGATTTCTCTTAAGCATGCTAAAAGGGTTCTTGTTCCGGAGTCATTTGAGAGTTATTGATATACCTATAATTTACCCACTTTTTATACTGTTTTAGCATTGTTTTCTAATGGTTTTTGGCAGGTTTTCTATCTAAAAAGGTAGTTTTACTATGTTTATAGTGTCTAGAGTCTAAACAGGTGAAATGATGCATTTTGGAGCAAAACCATAGGATTTGCACTTCAAGCAGCTCCATGCACAAGCACCAACTTTAAGAGGGCCCAGAAAAAGATCTACTCAATGGATTTCATCAAGACCAGTTCCCTGCGTGCTCTGATTGAGTTAACTTTCCAACGCAATTGGAATGGCATCATTTGGATGAGTAGAAAAGGAGTTACAACCAAAAGAGTGAAGACTGCTCCAGACGGCTCTATCGAGAGATCAGCGCCCAACCGCGCAGTCCGGCTGGCCGAGGAACGAATGTTCCGCGCTCGGCCAAAACCGTATTCGTCCGACTGAAGTCTCGGCCAAAGTCCAAACCACTCGGCCGATCACGCAACACGACCCGGGAAACATTGCCCGCGGTCGGCCAAGCTTCAACGTCCACGCCACACCGCGCACGACCAAGCGCGCGAGCCGGGAAACAAGGCCTCGCGGCCGCGCAACCCGTTCCGCGTGCCACGGCCGATGCATCCGTCCGAGCCGGGAAAGAACGTCCCACGTCCGGCCGAGAATCTTCATCGGCCAAACTCAATCGCTCGACCACGCCGGCCGACCGCGAATCCGTCCGACCCCGACCGTTCCGACTCGCCACGATCCGACTGTCCGGCCGATCGTCCCGCACGACCGTCCCAACGCCGCGGTCGACCCGAAGCCCTTTTGAAGCCCAAACTTATGTTTTCAAGCCCGGCTTAACCCTAGCCGCCTCTAGAAAAGACCTAGCACTATATATATGGATTTTTAGCCTCTTGAGAAAGAGAGCCGCCTTGTATTACGAATTTCATACTTTGATTTTATTGCAATCATGTTTTCTTCATCTCTTTGTGTTTTTGCTTTGATTATGTCTGAGTAATTCACTAGTTAGGTTGTGAGATCTATCAAAGAGTTCATGGTTTGATAGGTTGTTAGAAGTCACATAGGGTTTATCATATCGCATCTTCGCCTCTGCTTGAACTTATTGCTGCTTGCTTTTCTGATCAACTAGCATCAGATCTTAGGTTTCATATACTCTCCAAAAGCTTGCTATATAACCTGAACTAAGTATTTGGTGAGCAAAACTTCATAGACTGCGAAAGTTGATCTATAAGGGGTTGTGAACAATTGGGTCTTGAACGAACTATTGCTTGATTTAATCACCTAGGGACATACCAAAAGTTTAGCGACTAGGTAGATTAACAAAGGGGTCGGAGCCTCGACAGTGGAAAGATCATACAATCGTGACCTGAGTTCTAGATAGCGCAAACCCTAGTAAACCTTCTAATATCTTGTTAACCTTGAATCTCTGCGAGTTTCTCATTGCCTAGCGTTTCCCTTTTATTGATTTTCATAAACCGTTTAACCTACTGTTTGATTTACCTTGTTTTACAATCAAAACCCTAAATCATACTTGTTTTCTAGCTATTTTAGACTTGCAATTCTCGAAGTGTACTTATCTGCTCCTTGTGTTCGATACCCGTTTACTACTTTTGATCTGTGCACTTGCAGAATCAGGGATAGGAAAAGGGAAGACCTGATCCCGCGATCAGTTATCCTTGGGGCAGAGTGGGATTTAAGGAGTTGATGGAGTCCATAAAAGTAGCTAAACTTGATGGGAAGACGTACGTCGTACACGGATGTGTACATGCGCTGTTGATATGGGCATACGAGGCTATTCCAATAATAGGTGAGAAATTTGGTAAGAGAAGAGGAAACATTGAAATCCCATTACTTCGGTGGGAATCATGTCGCAACAGATACAATCTGGAAGCATTAGTGCAAGAAGAGAAGAAAAAACAGGTCTGGATAAGGTATTAGTCGTTTGCTAGTCGTGTTGTTTCTTATGATTCGTAAACGACACGATTCTTATGATGATCAATATAGAAGAATGTATCTGTTTACTAAGATTATTTTGTAATGCCCTTGCAGGTTCGAGTTAGGCAGTTAGTGTTGAAACCTCTGGAAGAGATATATCCCGTTTGGGCAGGCGAAGAGGCAGGAGGTGATATTAAGCTTGATAACATGATTCGTGATATTGTTGGAGGGTGTCTGGATGAAAGTTGCTGGGAAACAGAAGAGCAACTGTTGAACAAAAAGAAGAGGAAGAAAAAGTTAGAAGTGGTGGTAGATAGTGATGATGATTTGGTAGAGAAACCTTTGCGAAAGATTTCAAGTACGAAGAAGGAAGAGCAGAAGACGAAAAAGATGGAGCCGAGAGACTATAGTGATTCTGAATCTCAGAAAAAAACGGAAGATGGGTTAGGTTGGGATGGAAGAGATATAAGAAAACCATCCGAAGGCTTTGCTGATGAAGCACTAGCGAATGTGCTTAACACTATTCTTGAGCAACTTGCTGAGCTGGGAAGGAAGTTTGAACTATTGGAAGCGAACAAAACTACTGTGGAGGAGGGGTCGACGAAAAAAAGGAATGAAGTAGGCGATGAAGTAGACGAGGAGAAGGTGTGTGATGCAGAGTCTGACACTGTTGGGGAGAAGGACAATAAGAAGGGTTGAGAAGCGTGTACGGAACCGGTTAGTTGTTTTTGTTTGAATGCAGTGGTTTTGTTATTCATATTTGAAATACCATTGAATCATGTTTACAATACCATTGCAGTTGTGTGTTGCAACAGAGGTTGAAACATCGCAGGAAGGGATTACTATAACCAGAACCATAAGGAACCCGGCATACGATTATAAGAAACCCACGCGAAGGAAGCTGGAACTGAACGATCCCATTGAAAAGTTAGGAGGTGATCGCCCGGCGGGGAAGACGCCGTTTATAATTCCACAACTAAGTGATGGAGAAGACGATGAATTTCTGATGAAAGCATTTGCGGCCAACGCACAACAGCTGGGAAGGCAGGGAAAACAGGACAAAGCAAAGATGAGGCCTACGCCTTCGCCAGACATCCTTTTGTCACCGAAACAATCTCGTCCTAGATCTGCCGTGAAGGAGGAAGCAAAGGTGAGGCCTACGCCTTCGCCAGACATCCTTTTGTCACCGAAACAATCTCGTCCTAGATCTGCCGTGAAGGAGAAAAGGAAAGCCGGAATCAATCCTCAGGCGACGTATGATCCTTTAGAGAAGGTCGATAGAAAGAAGAAAGTTGCCCTCCTCGAATATGTGAAGACATATTTGTAAGTCACCACTATATAGAAGCCCGGTAGATTAGAGTGGATACATATATATCATTGCACACATGATGTTGATGGGATAATCTTTGTTGCAGGGATAACCCTATCGAAAGTAGCAGGCCTGTGGCAGATTTCTACCTAACCTTAATGACACCCAAACAACAGTGGGCTGTAGATGAATACGGGTGGCTTTCCGATTTGGTAAATGCGTGAAATTTAGTAATTTTTATGTATGTATGAGATATGTGATGATATGTACTGTATGAAATATGTGAATAAATTCAATGTTTTCCTGTTACAGCATATGGTCGCGGGTATGAACATGTTCCGCCAAAGGTCATTGCGTAAGTCGTGTCCATATAGAAACGAGAGGATTACTTTCCTCGACCCTCAGTTCACCAGTTTGTTGTGTATAGAGTACAGAAATAAGTATCTCGGCCACGAGAAGACGTTTGAATTCTCTATTGGGCACGAGAACCATTACAACGGTATTGCCCCAGACTGTGCCGTAACCAACAAGAAATGGGTTAAAGATGTTGACACTTTGTACATCGCCCATAATATTCTCAATACTCATTGGGTGGCAGTTGAGGTTGATTTGCTAATTAAGAGGGTAAAAGTTTATGATTCCATCTACTCGGCATTTGATGTGGATGTCGTAAAAGAGTCTGTGAAGCCGTATATGAAGCTGGTTCCGCTACTTTTGAGACACGTCGTACAAAAAGAGGAGAAGCAACAAATGGGCGGGATTGCCTACAACTTCTACCTGGTAAAGGGTCTTCCGCAGAATGATCAAACCGGGGACTGCGGTGTATACACCCTGAAGGCCATCGAGTGTTTAGCTCTTGGACGGACTCTGACCGGCATCGACGACACGAATGTGGGTGACATCCGTATCAAGTACGCTGCTGAGATGATGGCTGAGGTGGACTTGTCTGACTTCCTGCTACCGATAATCCCAGAGACAAGCCCGTACCCAAAGACAAGCCCGTGCTCGCGTGGTACATCTGATGACGCTTCGCAGGGGCTGGAGACGGATTCGTTGGATTCGTTGTAGTAGTGAAACCATCGTTTAGGAAGAATGTAATGGTTTAGGAGTTTAGGAGTCATTGTGTTAAGTAATTTGGTGTAGTGTTGATGGTATGTTTGTGTGGTATTGAGTTTAGGCGCCGTCATATAGGTAGACGGTTGTAATGGTAACTACATTTTCGGAGTGAACCAAGTGACTGCATGACTTGTATGGGTTCGCTAAATTTTTGGTTGAGAGGAAGGAAATTTGTTGCTCTCAACGTGTTTTTGCGGAGTGAGACCATAAGCCACGCTGTCAGATGAGTCGTGAAATTGCAGACCGGGATTGCCACTTAACTGTCTTTGATTGCATCTGTAAACCGGCCACGAAATTACAGTAGAAAAAAAGATAATTTTAAACACATTTTTAAAACATGATGTTTAATTTGAAAATAAACCTAACAAGTACCATAAACACATGTTTAACATATATTCAGACATTAATAATGATAATATGATGCAATTTACAGTTTTACGGAAAAATCAATGTTTAGTCATCAAGTAACCATGAACTAACCCTTATAACATAAGGGAAACATATGTATTGTTATGGTGATTTGACGAGAATACACAAAATGTAGGTTTCTTAACATCTAACCGTACTAGAACGTTTATATGGGTACTATAAGGCCTAAATACATTTGTTCCACTGGAAATTAAAGTTTAATTACACAGTTCAACTAGAAATATACGAAAACGGTTAATGTTCAACTACTGTCCATTTTGGTTCAACCTTCACCTTGAGTACAACTACGCTCATGTTTGACGAAATTTCACCACGCCGCCGGCGGGAAAATTTGGAGGGAGTTTTAATATTTAATTAATTGGTTTAGTTCGTTTTCATTTAAATGGTATTTCTTTTACACCGGGCCTAGGGATTCGGGAAGAGCAGAGAGAAGAGATGATGGACAAATGGGAAAATCTGGACTCTCCACGTGTCCTCTTTAATTCGGTACAACTGATTCGTAATGGTTCAACTTCTATTTGTTGTTGTTTTTAAAATGGGATCATATAGATCAGTTTAAGACATGATGTATAACGTTGAAATAAACCTAACAATTACCAAAAACACATGTTTAACATATAGTCCCGTGATTTATAATGATAATATGATGCAATTTACAGTTTTACGTAAAAATCAATGTTTAGACATGAAGTAACCATGACAATACAAGGAAAACATATGTATTGTTATGGTAATTTGACGAGAATACACCAAAATGTAGGTTTCTTAACATCTAACCGTACTAGAACGTTTATATGGGTACTATAAGGCCTAAATACATTTGTTCCACTGGAAATTAAAGTTTAATTACACAGTTCAACTAGAAATATACGAAAACGGTTAATGTTCAACTACTGTCCATTTTGGTTCAACCTTCACCTTGAGTACAACTACGCTCATGTTTGACGAAATTTCACCACGCCGCCGGCGGGAAAATTTGGAGGGAGTTTTAATTTTTAATTAATTAGTTTAGTTTTTTTTCATTTAAATGGTATTTCCTTTACACCGGGCCTTGGGATTCGGGAAGAGCAGAGAGAAGAGAGAGTTTGAGCTTTCGGGTTTCGATTTCTAGAGAGAGCACATATATAGAGAGAGACTCTTCTTCGACCTTATTCCATTTCCAGTCGAAGCAGGTGCCGATTCCAGTCTTCCAGGTGCAAAATAAGGTTCGATATCCTCGATTCACTAGATTCTTGCGTAGAATTAGTACGGTCTTGAGAACAATTACTAAATTAAGTTTCACTGTTAGGTCATTTAATATTTCAACTTATTTTCGTATCTATCTGAATCACTGTTTCTTCTTACAAGGGAATGGGTCCTCACAGTTGGGTAGAGACGTCTTCATCCTCCGTGCCGTCCCCGGCGTCTTTAGATCCAGGTCTCCTCGGAGAGTATGAAGACGGCATTCCTCATCTGTGTTACTGCGGTGGATCGGTTTTTGTTGAGACGACCGCCAACGGAGACAGTAAAGGAATGAGATTTGTCACTTGCCGCCGCCGTGATGTGAGTTTTTGACAATTCTATCATGTTGATGTTGATATTTTAGCAAAAAATGAGAACTTGATGTTGTTACCATATCGTGTTGTAGGAAGCTGGGCATCATATTCGCAAGTTGTGGGATAATTGTGTCGAAGAGGAAATTGAAATGTTGCGCTCTGACATTACAAGTCTGAAGGAGGATTCCCGCACATGTGCCCACGCGGACGAAGCACTTAAAGAGATAAGTATCCTGTGGACCGACTTACTTTTGGCGGAAAAAAAAACCCGTGATCTGAAGGAAGATCTGGAGATGGATATTGTGAAGATAAAAGAGGATTTTCTGCAGACGGAGGTGTTGGTTCGTGATCTGCTCAAGGAGCACAAGACTGGAGATTACATTTGTGCTTGCTACATTTACTCTATTCCTTGGTCTTTTCATAATTTGGTTCAAGTAACTGCTCAGAATCAAGTGGCAGACGTCAGTCTCTATGTTCACCAAAGCGTGTTTACTCGGAAGAAGACCGTTATCCGTTTTTTCAAGCTTTGTATGAGGACTTGTTTCTCTTTATGTTATGCCTTAGTTTATATGTCCTAAAAATTGAACCTTGCTTGGTCCCCTTTCTCATATCATGGTTCCATATGTTTCCTCTTATGCGTGTGTATTTGACTCAATTAAAACTCTGTCAACTTAGTTAGCATGTCTCGGTTTATACCCAATAATGGAACAGAAAACAACAACAAAGCAGATGAACCAACAAAAACCATTAGTGCGATGAACGAGCTGTTCACAAGAGTTACTGGGTTTGGACTAGAAGATGAAAGGGCGCAAAGCTTTGGTCGCCAGTTGCTTCATGCTCTATGGTGGGTGCCACCGTCGTGGCATAACCCCAATCCGCCAGATTTCCAATATCCGGGGCTCCCTGACTGCGTTTATGTTGGTAACATGCATTGGCACACATGCAATAAATGTTACATGTTTCAACTCGCACGTATTGTGTGTAACAAAAATATATCCAATGTAATATTGTCTGGTGCATTGTTCTCGCTGTTCAATTATTAAATGTTCAATGTTTCAATTGTTCGTGTTAAATATTGAAGTACAAGGAATAATAACATAATATGTTCTGAAAACGATATGGCTCAGTTTAGGTGTTCGATTTGGGTCCGTTTAGGTAAACCGAACGGGTGAAATACAAGGAAGAATAACCAACTATTTTCAGCGGGTCCGCGGGAATAGACTGCGTACATCAGGGTCGGCTGTACAGTATACGGGACGCCATGCGTACACCAATGAAGGGTGTACGGGGCGATATTGCGTACACAAGTGCTGGTTAAACACGTAATATATCAAAAGACCAACATGATAGAGATCGAAAAGATAGCACACTTAAAAACCACGCCAACCAATAGATCGAAAAGATGACATATTTAAAAACAAGCGTTCATTACAGATAAATCCAAGATAAGGTGAGGGAAGTTTGAAATTTATTACAGATAGATCCAAGATCAACATGGAAATTGTAAAACTAAACAAGCGTTCAAGACATTGCTCAACAAAATCCAAGTTCTGAGCCCAAGGTGACAGAAGCCCAATTTCCTAAGAGCCCAAACCTTATCTGCGACAGCTCAACGCATAATACAGTATACCTCTGGTTCAGGCCTCGCACGTTGTACGATTGTGGCCCGACTGATGACATTTGGAGCAGCTGTGTTCCTTTCGGGGACGTTTCCGATCCATGACAACCTCTAGTACACCTTTAATACGTGAGTTTTTAGGCCTACCTGGTGGTTGCCGCAACTTAGGTGGTTTACAAACCTTGTCTGAGACAACTTGAGGCGCCGGCTGAGATATGTCGCGAGGCATAACCACTTTTGCATATGCATTGCTAACACTTTCTGCGCGGTGGTAAGGATGTGCCAGTGTGACTCGTGGTATATTTGCGGACAATGCAGCTGCAAGTGCGTGTACACATGGAATTTTATCCAAATCAAACCTCCGGCATGTACACATTCTCGCCGTTATATTGACAACATGTAAAATTCCGCCGCACGTCACTTGTATTTGGTCATCATCAATCTCCTGAGCTGTCCATAGCTTCGAATTATCCACCCTTGACTGATTTTCAATTAATGAGTTAGAATTTAATAGCTTTCACTAACAAATACATGCATCAAAGTGTACCTCGAGTAGTTTTTCAACTCCTGTTGTGAGGAAAGTTTTCATCAAACTCGCCTTCCTCCTCCTTGCAGCAAACCATCTTGTTAACATCGACCTCGCCTCGTCCACAAGCTCGACTATAGGATAACCCCTTGCGTCGGAGAGGACTTTATTCATACATTCTGCAATGTTACTTGTGGTGAAATTGTACCTGTTTCCAGGAAAATGCACACGTGTCCACCAACGCACATCCGCATTCACCAAATAATTATGTAGTTCGGGATCCAAAGCTTGAATCTGAGCAAATATCAGATTGAAATCCACGAGACGGTATGCCGCCGCCGCCTTCTTCACTAGCTTGTAAGATTCTTTTCCTCTGAATTTAAGCATAACATTCTTTCGGAAATGGTAGGTACAAACTCCACGACTGGCCAGTGGATAGACTATCGCAATTGCTCTACTAATTGATCCATGTCTATCGGAAATCACTGCTAGTTCTTCATCGTCAGGGATAACCCGGTGTAATTGAGTGAAAAACCATTCCCATGACTCATCATTTTCTGTATCAACAATCCCAAAAGCTATTGGGAAAATGTTGAAATTTCCGTCTTGCGTTGTTGCTATTAGAAGTGTACCTCTGTATTTCCCTTGCAAGAAAGTCCCATCAACGACCACAACTTTCCTCATAAACCGGAACCCGTGTATGCTGGCTGAAAATGCTATGAAGAGATACTTGAATCGGTCGGCGTCGTCTACTTCAAGTTTTGTAAGTGTCCCTGGATTAGCTCGCCTTATCATGTATAAGTAAGTGGGCAGATCCTGGTATCCACTCTCGAAACTACCGGAGACTAGTTGTCTCGCAAATCTCAATGACCGATGAGCTTTCCAATAGTCTACCTGTTGCATACAATTCAACCTAAACCCTTAACATAAACATAATACCTTATCGTTAAGTTACGAACGAAAACAAACGTACCCGTAGTCCGTAACGCCTGTTCAGACCGTCGGCAACATGACTAGGCAGAACTCTTTGTCCAACACCACCTACAAAATCCTTGTATAGACATCCTAATATTTTATATGTAGCTTGACGTGCACGGGCTGATCGCTCCGTAATCGAACATGAATGATGTTGGACGTATGTCTTGATATAAAAAGCAGGAGATTGCCCCACAGTTGTGGCCCGCACTCTCCAACTGCATCCTTCTACCCAGCATTTAGCTGTCAATAGCGTCGGGGTTGAATTCCCAACATTGTAGTCAAATTTTAGTGCTACCGTAAGCATCTTCAATCTCAACTCCAATTCCGTCTTCGTATTGAAGCGCTCACCAACCACTAAGTCAACAGAGCCACATCCTCGAAACTCAGGAATCTGGTTTCCACTCCCATTCATACCATCGCCGTCGTCTTCTTCCTTTGCAAACCTCCCTTTCGTAGTACCGTATTCTTCGTCATCCGAGCTAGCACCATCAGGATCGTCGCAGTAGTCGAATCTGCTTGTGTCCTCTCCATCATCATTTCTGTTTTCGGGCCAAATTTCTTCTGCGCCAGGACTGGATTGTTGAGACCCGTCACTCGAATCTTCCTCCATCGGTTTACCCTCCGTTGATTTTGTTTGAATCTCAACGCATAGACGGGTCGTTTCCGTCTTAATTTGCTGCAGATACGCCAAAAATTGTGTGGAGTTGCATATGAAAACAGGAGGTGTGTCGGCGGGCAAACTATCCAGAACCTTCTTCGGCAGCAAATAACTCAACTGAACCTCCTCCTTATTCAGATCCAAACCGAATTCCTCGCACACCATTCTCATTAACTGCATGAAAGAGGTTTTCCGACCAGCACCAACTACTCTGCCTCCCTTAGATTTGTCTACTAAGAAGAACCAACTATTCCGATAGAAACTCCATTTCCCACATACCAGAATTAGTTGCTCCATCGCGATTTAACCAGATCGATTACGACGACGGAGGCGCAGACGTCGTGGCCGTCGTAGACGAAGTTCTCGATTTGCAATTGGGGAAATGCGATAGTAAATGGCGAATTAATGCTGCACTATAGGGAGTAAATGCCAGTAGATGGCGAATTAATTGCGAATTCGACACCAATACTCGAACGGGATCTATGAAAAATTTAATGAGAAAACCCAGAAAATGTCCCGTTATGTTATAATAAATCTACCGTTAAATCGAGAACCTTTCCATAAATCTACCGCGTCTTCGAGGTTAGTGTAGTAAAGAGAGGTATATTTAACCATTTTGCCTAAAAATCTACCACCAAGAACCTCCAATTCATATCACTTTATCACAAAAATCTAAATCTATCGTCACATAACTAAAGTCTACCACAACTATGTAAAGTCTACCACTACATCATACAGCAAAACTCTATCGCAACTACATGAAAAGTCTATCAAACGCAAAAATGTCTACCATCATTGGTAATAAGTCTACCAGAAAATACAAATTCTACATGAAAAGTTTATCACTCAATCAAAAAATCTACCGTCCAAACAAAAATCTACCACAACATCAAACAAAAATCTATCGCTAACACAAAAGTCTACCAGGTCATTATTTCGAAAAGTCTATCAATAAAAAATAAATCTATCACCCAACTCAAAAATCTATCACACAACTCAAAAATCTATCAAAAGTTCATTAAGTCTATCACCAAGTGAATGATAGATTTTTCCATGTGGTCTTTTTTTCCAACAACAAAAATAACATTTTTCAACCCTTTTTCATTAATGGCAAAACTGTAAATACGTTTTTTGTTTTCAAAGGAAATAAGGGTAATATGGGCAATACTTACATTTCAAGGTTATGTAAGTAATATTGGACTTTTCCCCTATGTTTGGTCCAAATCACTCACATTCAACTATGTAAGTCATTCACCCTTATCTTCTTCTTTTTTCTTTCAGTTTTATGCTCATTCTCATCATCTTTTTCTTCTTCTTCCAATTTTTTCTCTTCATTATTTTCTTGTGTCTTCATATCCTCCAACTCACTATTCTAGATTTTCTTTCTAATTTTTTATACATTATTTTTCGGTTTTTCTTTTTCCTTATTCCCCCTTTCTCTGCCTTTATCATCTTCGTTTTCTCTAACATCTATTTTTCTAGTTTTTATTTATCTCTTCTTTGTCTTTTTTCTCTTCACATTCTATTTTTTTCTTCTTTGATTTCTTTTTACTCATGTTCGAGTTTTCTTCTTCTTCTCCAAATTTCTCATTTTCTTTTTCACCGTCTTTTTTTTTTACTTATGGTTTTATTCGTTCTTTTTAACGTCTTGTATTTCACCTATCAATTTATTCGATAGTTTAGATTTTCAAAGATTTGAAAAATAGTTTTATCTTTATATAGTCGAGATCTTTTTAAAATCTATTGCTTTTGTTATCTTTCGATTCTGGATTTGCTTTAATTTTTTTAGTTTTTTTTTCTGTTTGTAAATGTAATTTAGAAAGGTAGATATAGATTTATAATCATTGATTCTTAATTTTGAAATTCTTCCATAATAATTCAAATTTTTAAAAATGCACCAGAAACTAAACCCTAAATCCATTAATATAAACCCTACACCCTAAATCAAAACCCTACAATGTAACACCACCTCCCCCTAAACAACACTACACCCTAAATGCAAACCCCACAGTGTAAGACCACCCTCCCCCTTAAACAAACCTACACCCTAAACCCAAACCGCACACTCGAACCCCACATTTTACAAATTGGTTCTGGACTTTTTCTTTAAATTTTATTTATTTCTTAAAAATAGTTTCTTTTTGGTTTTAATCGGTAATGTAGTGTATTAAATTTTCTTAAAATGCACCAAAAACTAAACTTTACGCCATCAATATAAACCGTACATCGTAAACCCCAACCCATTTTTATCTTATTCTTCCTTTACTTTGTCTTTTACTTCTTTCATATTTTTTCCTTCATTTTCTACTTTTGTTTTCTTATTCTTTTCAAACTTTCTAATCTCTTTTTATTTCCTCTCTCTTTATCGTCATCTTTTTATTTCATGGTTTTTATTCGTTTTCTTTCTTTTATTTACAATTTGTTTTTTTCAATTAACTTTGTGTTATAATTCTTCGTTTTTTATCTTTTGATTTTTCCAACTTCTTTATTGTTCACATATTCTTCAATTATTTTCTTCTTTTGTTATGTTTCTTTCGTTTTTTCCGTCTTCGTCTTCCAACTTTTGTCTTTTCTTTATTTTAATTTAGGTTTTTCTTCTTATTTCATCTTGTATTCTTCATCATTTTGTATTATCAATCTTTTTCTTTTTGGCAACATCTTATTTATCAGTTTCGTCTTCCTCTTTATTTTATTTTATTCTCGTCTTCTCTTTTTTTTTTCTTTATCTCCTCATACATTTTGTTATTTTTTTTTCAGTTGTACTTCTTTAATCTCCTTTATTTTATTTGTCTTCTGTAACATCTTAGTTTTCTGGTTTTCTTTGTCTTATTTTCTCATACTTTACTTTCATTTTTTATCCTCTGGTTTTCTTCTTTCAGCTTTTCCTTCTTATTCCCCGCTCTTATGTTCTTTTTCTTCTCATTATATATGTTTTGTTATCTAAATCCATTTTTTGGGGGTGTTATACTTTGCTTCTTTTCATGTTGTTCTTCATCTCGTGGTAGTATATTTCATACTTTGAGTACTGTTCCAGGTTGATTTAAATGGTTTGTTATTTTTTCTTAGCTCTGGTTGTTATTTATCTCATCTTTGTCTTTTTCTCTTCACCTTCCATTTATTCTTCTTTGATTTCTTTTTTTCTCTGCTTCGAGTTTTTTTCTTCTTCTCCAAGTTTCTCATCTTCTTTTTCATCGTCTTCTAGTTCAATTTTTATCCGTTCTTGTCTACATATTTTATTACACTTATCAATTCGTTTGATAGTTAGATTTTTAAAAATTCGTTAAATAGTTTTTATCTTTATATAATCATGCTCTTTTTAAAAATCAAATCTACTCGGTGTCGTTAAATTTTGATTCTCAATTTTCTATTTGTGAACGTATTCTTAATGGTAGATATTTTTAGTTTTGATATATTATCATAATAATTCAATTTTTTTAGAATGCATCAAAAACTAAACCCTACATACATCAATATAAACCCAAACCCCACCCTTATAACCCCCTAAACCCTAAACCCTAAACTCTAACCCTACAGTAACCCTAAACTAAATCCTACATACTCCATAACCATATATTATATAATTGTTTCTAATTTGCATAAAATATTTTATTTTATTTAAAGTAATAGTTGTTGTTGTATAAAATATCAATGTTGATGTTATTGTTAGATACGATTAAATTATTCTTCTTGTCCTCATCTTCTTTCTCGTCTTTTCCAACTTCTTTTTAATCAGTTTTATCTTCTTATTCTTCCTCTTCTTTAGTTTTCTTTTTGTTTTTCCATGTATCCTCATTTTTCTACTTTTAGTTATCTTCATCTCCTCTCGCTTATTCTTTTTTTTTATCAGTTTTTCTTCTTCTTTCTTCTTCTTTCCTCTCCCTCTTCATCTTATTTGTGTTTTTCCTTGTATTCTCTTTATTTTTTCTTCCACATATTTGGTTCCATTTGATTTTTAAAATTTGATTGATTGATTATAAAATGAGTATTAAAAGATACAAATGAACTCACTGATTTATATAAGGAATTTTTTTTTTTCTTCTCTAACTTTATATCTTCTTCTTCAGGCTTTTTTTGTTTTATCCATCTAATTCTTCTTTTTCTATTAATTTTATTCATCTTGTTTTTGCATTTTCTAATTTGTGTTCTTCTCTTTCGATTTCTCACTTCTTCTTCATCTTCTATTCTTTTTTTTTCGGATTTTCTTTGTCTTCTTCTTCCCCTCTTTCTTTACTGCCCTGTCTTCCTTAACTTCTCATTCTTCTTGTTTTTATTTGTCTCATCTTCATCGTCTTCCTCATCTTTTCTTTCTTCTTCTTCTTTCACTTTTTCTTCCTCTTTTTTGTTAGTCCTCCATCTTTTCCATATTCTTTTCTTCTTATTTTTCTTCTTCATCTAATCCATATTATTCTTTTTAATTCTTGTTTTTTGGTCTTGTTCCTCGTCCTTCGCAACAGTTTATTCCCCGGTTTGTTCTTCTTTTCCTTCATCTCTTAGCTTTTGATTTTTTTTTTCTTTCCTCGTCTTCTCATTTTTCTTCTATTTCATCAATTTCATCTCTTATAACTTATTTTGTGATTTTTTGCCTTTTTCTTCCATCTTATTATTCCCTATATTATTTGTATCATATTTTTTTTTTGGTCTTCTTCAGTTTTCTTCTTTTTCATTGTCTTTGTTATTCATCATATTGTTTTAATTTTTTTTAATTAGTTTTTGTTTAAAATCGGCAGTGTTAGTGTATTCAATTTTTTTTAAATACAGCAAAAACTAAACCCTACACCCATCAATATAAACCCTACACCCTAAAACCTAACCCCACGTTAAACCCCCCCCATAAACCGTACACCCTAACCCCACATTACCAACCGCTTCTAGATATGCTTTTATTTTCTTAGTGTTTTTTTAAAAGAAGTTGTTGTTTTCTTGTGTTTTTAATCGGCATTGTTAATGTATTCAATATTTCAAAAATACACCAAAAATTAAACCCTATCAATATAAACACCAAACCCTAAACCCGAACCCGAGATTGTAGACCCCCCTCTAAACCGTACACTATAACCCCACATTACAAACTTGTTCTAGATTTGCTTTTATTGTTTTAGTTTTTCTTTGTAACTTCAAAGGAACTTGATCGACACCAAAATTTTCATGTAATGTTTACATTCTAAGTTCTTTATAAATTTTTCAACTTATATATACACAAAAGAAAATACCAAAATATGTAAAAGAGTTATAACTTATAACACAATAATCTACATATGAGATTACCATTGTTTTCTTTTGATTTCCACAACACTTGT